AGGACTAATCGACACGATGGAGGAGATCAAGAACGGGGCCTGGATCACTTTGTAAAAGGATTTGTCACCACAGCTTACAATGAACGATTCATTTCTCGATGGAAAACTAAACTCTAAACAAAACCCAATTGTGTAGCAGCGGCGGCGGCGGCTGTGTTTATAGTCTAAGACTCGACCTAGGGTTGGGGACGGCCAGGGTTGGGCGCCCACAACTTGGGCTTAAGGCCCGACACGATACATGGCCAAGTTGGCCCAAATAGGTGACGCAGCACCTTGCCGTGGTCACACAGAATGATCCACGGACCTTCTGGAGCTGGGACCAGATCCAAAACGACGGCGTCGTCGTCCCTTTCAACGCATCCAAGAACGGCCCGTTTCGACGTCGTATGAGGAAGTTATGACCAAGCAAGTGACGACGCGTGTCTGCTGAATCCGAGGGTGACGTGGTAGCTGAGTTGGGAACGAATTGCAACTTGGGGAAGACCATGGCGTCGGTGTGTCCAGCGTGGCGATGTCCTCATCATCCTCCCTTCTCGAATTGAGTCGCCCCTCGACTCCATCTTGGCGATATCCTCATCATCCCTCCTTGTAGAATTGGAGTCGTCCTCGACTCCATCCCATCATCGGCGAACTCCTGCAAAAGATTAGTGACAAAGGGCAATGCACCGGACATAAAAGGTTGACAAAACATAGTATAACATGGTGCATCGAGGATTATGACATAACTCAGCGATGAAAGGGGAGTTGTAGCAAGAAAAGCACCTCCTTTTAACTTAATCCCATTATTTTTAGCAATGTCTGTTGGAGGTTTATTTTTGATCTCATTAGCATGTTTAATAATATCCGTAGGGAGACAAAGGCAAACAATGTAATTTTCTTGTCCTTATGTATGATAGTGTATGTATTAGTTCTACCATGGTGTAAAGCATCATTATCAAATTCCCATGGTCGACCTAACAAAATGGAACAAGCTTGCATAGGGACAACATCAAAATCAGCAATATCATGATAAGAGCATGTGAAAAAAGCTAATGCGTCTTGATTTAGTTACCTTAGTCTTACCACTATTATTGAACCATTGAAGTTTATATGGATACGAATGTTGTCGTGTGGTCAAGCCAAGCTTGTCAACCAAATCTGAACTCACCAAGTTGTTGCAACTCCGCCATCAATGATAGTGAGAACACGACAACCCTGCACAATGAGATACATATGGAACAAATTGTGGCGTTGGATCTTCATCTCTTCTTCATGTCCCACACGTACTCAACACACGCTGCACGAGAAGGCTAGGATAGTCCATGGCGTCAGCCACAGAAGTCAATGATGATGGCCTCCTTGTCTTGATCGCCCTCGGTGGGATCTGCATCAATGTTAGCAACAAGGGCTAAATCATCTTCAACATCACTAGCACTTACATATCCATCCTCGGTAGCAATGAAAGCGTTTGACGATAGGGGCAATCCTTCATGACATGTCCCATGCCTTTGCATCGGTGGCAAATGATTTTAGAGCTGGACGAGGAGGAGCTAGTAGAAGCACCGGAGTGGCACCTTTCTTCAAATTGTGGAAACTGCACATTAGACAATTTACTTACCCCGAAAAGAAAATAGAGGTGTAGATGGTGTGTGGTGCAACAGAAGCTTAGTCGTCTCCGGCTCGAACGCTGCTGAAAATTCCTCCCATTGTGAGACACGAAAGGTTGGTGTTGTTTAAATCCACAGACTTCTCGTTACGCCTTAATAGCAAGATGATACAATTGGGAAAAATTAGCCATTCTTTGTAATCAAGTATGTTCAGTATATCATGGTTTAAACCACCAAAAAATCTAGCACTAGCATCAAAGATCATCTTCATTTATACCACAACGTATAAAACCAATAAGCAATTCTTGATAGTATGCTTCTACTCCTTTATCACCTTGTTTTAAAGTTTGTAGTTTCAAACGTAAATCACGTTAGGTAATAAGGAGGAACAAAACGAGATTTCATCGTTGCTTTAAAACATTCCAAGTTTGAGGCACAAAGCAGCATTATTAGCATTGCAAAGATCACTCCACCGAACAAAGCAAAATTAGTAAACTCACTAGTAGCAAGTCTAACTCTATGCTCGGGAGGAACATTATGAGAATCAAATTTTTGTTGAACAAAAGCTCCCAATCTAAATATGTCTCTGGATCAACATTACCAAAGAAAAAGGAGGTAGACTAAATTTAATTTTAGCAAAAGGATCATTATTACCATGATTATTACCTCCCATGCCGCGACGATTGAAGTTGAGGCGGCGACGACGGCACCACCACGAAGATACGCATCTTCATCACCAAAAGCATCCGCATCTTCATCATCATCAAAGACGATAAAGGCGGAGGGCGTTGCTCAAAATTGTTCAATGCGGGTGACCAGATTGTTCACGTTCTTGGCGTCGGCTCGGTCATAAGATTGCGTTGTTGGGTCCATGAACGTTGCAAGCTCGCCCTTGGACACGCACTCATTGAAGTCCGTCGGAGTTCCCGCCATGGTTAGAAGATAGAAAAGACAACACCAAAGTATTATCCCTATCAACTACAAGGAAACAAGTGGTGGTGGTGGTGAAAGTGGAATGCAAAATCACAAGCGGCTTACCACCGTCTTGCTCAGATTCTTACCAACGCCAAACAGAGCAAAACCAAAATGGCGAAGCAATCTGTTGTGGAGCGTGGGTAACAGTTGCAAGATGAACCTGTGCTGACAGAAGAATATGTGGAGCTATGGGAGGCACACAATATGACAAAGAAAGGATTAGCAATTAACGAATACAGATTAATGATTGTTCAATCCGGATCCAAAGTACAAATCACAGTCTTTGGCTAGGGCGTGTCGAGACGTAAGCGCAACAAGGTGAAAGCAAAGACGACGATCGAAAGAACTCACAGAACAAAGCAAATAGCCCGATTTCTCCTTTTTTCCGGATTTTTTTCAAAGGCACTAGTAGGAAACAAACTTTTTTATTTTTTCACTAATTTTTTTATACTTTTCTCTGAACAAGGATCACAAAAGATGCAACCACAAAATTGGCACCTACAACTGAGGTGGGATGTGGTCTCTGAAATTCAAAGACGTTTTCTCTCTTGCAAAAACTTTGACAATTTTTTTCTTTATTTTCCTGAATTTTTTGGCAATTTGACGAAACCAAACAGGGCAAAGCCTAGTTTGGGTCGGGTCCAAATGGTGTCAAGAAGCTGCTGAAAAATTTCAGATTTTTCGGATAAACGAATGCGAAAAGTTATGCTGTTTTTATCAAGGTATCTCAAGGTATGTTTTCCGGGAGGCACAACACGGCGGCGGCGATTAGGGCAAAACGTCCCTAAACTCTAACACCGATCACAATGCAGTAGGTATTCGCCGATGATGTAAGGAGGGCTGCGATGTGAGCAAAATAAGAGCGGCAACCTAGCTAGGGCTTCACTTGGCGGCGAGAAGAGTTACACAAAATTAGCGGGGCAAGTCGAGTAATGTGGTGGCTTCGACTTGTTGTTTGGGAACGGTGGATGGGATAGCGGCGGAAAACAAAAAATCACAAAGAACGGGCGATTGAACTACGACCACGAACACAATCCTAAACCAGCAACAAGACTCGACCCACGGACACAAACTCAACAACACGAATCAAAACGAAATTGCAAAGGCACAAAGGGCGATAGGACAATGGAAATTGAAATATTTTTGGGCTTTTTGTGGACTCTAGGTAATGAACAAATATGAATCTAAGACAAACGAGATTATACCTCGCGGTAAACCAGAAATATCTCGATACCAATTGATGAGTACAGAGCCCGATCTTCCGAGAGGTAGCCGTAAGTTCGATATGTGGAGATCTCGGCGTTGGCGATCCGCTTCAAATCGACGCGATTCAACCACCCGCAACTGTTACACCATTGCTCCGTTGGTTATCAACCAAGCACAACTTGATTGACCTCGCCAAGAAGGCTTTTCCTCGCAAGCGAATCGAAGAGCACAAGCAAGAAGGTAAAACACACAATCTGATATTGCAAATATGAATGACGCGAATATCAATAGAAGGTTCAAGAACTTCGGTTCCAAAGGACTAATCGACACGAAGGGAGGAGATCAAGAACGGGGCCTGGATCACTGTAAAAGGATTTGTCACCACAGTTACAATGAACGATTAATGGAAAACTAAACTCTAAACAAAACCCAATTGTGTAGCAGCGGCGGCGGCGGCTGTGTTTATAGTCTAAGACTCGACCTAGGGTTGGGGACGGCCAGGGTTGGGCGCCCACAACTTGGGCTTAAGGCCCGACACGATACATGGCCAAGTTGGCCCAAATAGGTGACGCAGCACCTTGCCGTGGTCACCAGAATGATCCACGGACCTTCCGGAGCTGGGACCAGATCCAAAACGACGGCGTCGTCGTCCCTTTCCAACGCATCCAAGAACGGCCCGTTTCGACGTCGTATGAGGAAGTTATGACCGAAACAGTGACGACGTGTCTGCTGAATCCGAGGGTGACGTGGTAGCTGAGTTGGGAACGAATTGCAACTTGGGGAAGACCATGACGTCGGTGTGTCCAGCGTGGCGATGTCCTCATCATCATACTTCCCCAACATAACAGCAGCAGTATCTATTATGACCTTTCCATCTTTATATGCGCAGACCTAGGGAAGACACAAATGTAAGTGCTCCGCACATAGATCCTAAATTTTGTACAGAATTTCTGCAAGCATAGTTGAATAATAGATTCATAGGAGAGTCCTACTTGTATTCCTAAAATTTTGTCTCTTCCCAACTCAAGCAGATAATTTCTCAGTTTAGACTCCACATCAGAGTTAGCACGTGAGTAAAAAATCCACTGACTGTTAGGTATTTGTCCGTGTGTCAAACTCCTGACCAAAGTGAAGACATAAAAATCAGCAATGAAAAAAATGAGCGAGGTGACGTTTTTACTATAAAGATGGTGCAACCATTGGCATGACAATGTCAAGTAAATAGCATCTCACCCTAACAAAGTTGATTCAGCAAATGGCCTCATGATGTCCAGATAAACTATCCTAACATTTAGTGAAGCTGAAAGACCTGCAAGGTTTTTTTTGAAAAAATAAATGTCATTAAGATACTGGATACCTTAGAGGAACGAGTAAGCCCAAACCAAACACATACTGTACCTCTGAGGAGATTCAAGACCCTCATAAATATTATGGCATCCCCAGGGAAAGCATCAACCTAAAGGCATGAAAATGTCCATGTGACACCCCATTTATTGGCTGTGGAAACTGGAAAGTAGCAGGCCGAGCACTACAACTTACAGGATTAAAGCGTTGAACCTCCTTGTTGTTCAATTTCATCTTTTCTTGAAGAGCTTTTTTATTTCTCTCTCTTTGGTCATTTAGTGCCTTTATGTTCTCCTAATAAGTATGAATAACCACAAATAAACTGTTACTCCAAATATCCAAAATTACTAAAATGGAGACAAGATGACGAACAATGGATCTAGTAGACTTCAGCCTACCTTTGCTTCACTTGCTGTGGTTGACTGGCGAAAGAATATTGTGGCAATATCCATAGCCTGCTGAGGCATGTCAACCCGCAGTTTAAGCCCCATCTCTGAAAATGCTGACAGCAGTGCCACATGATCTCCCTACAGATCAACATGTTACATCAATTAACTAAAGTATGATAAGCTGGAAACTACATGGCAAGCTATTTTGTAAACTTGGGTATGAAATGTCAAAATTTCCAAAAACAAGTCAAGTGACTCCAGGTCCAGGGAGAGACATCCCTTTGAATTCGTCTAATCGTCTTATGAGAGGGGAGTATCGAACTCTTCAGGGAGGTATATGACCTTTGAGCACTTAGGTTTAAGACTGGGTGTCCTCCCTCTCAGCTGGAGGCTCTACCAGGCGAGCTATTGCTCAGTTCTCAACTTATCGCTTACAGCTTAGGGATATAGCTTGAGGACATATCTCCCAAGGCTGCTTGATTTCACTTATTGGGGATATGGGCATCTTAATTACCAGTCTTATCACATCATGAACGAGTAATACCAAAAGACAGATAATATTGTTAAAAGAAAAGACAAGAAAGTAAACAATGCATGCTTGCATGGGTTCTGAATCTACAGTAAGAAAAGAAGGGAATAGTTTTATATTATACTAGCAAGGTACTATCTACAGTAAGGAAAGAAGGGAATGTGCATTATTTAGAAGATCAAGGTTCACAAACCTCTGCGCATGACAAAAACATTTTTGCTAGTGCCTGCGTCATAGATTTAGATATGCGCTTAGTGAGCCCAAAGTCAAGGAGAATCGGTTTATGCGGAGGTTCCTTGCTCACAAGAAAATTGCCTACAGAAGAGAAAATGCATGCGACTATGAATTAATGTGCAATCAATGCAGAGCGGAAAGGTGAAAGAAACCTTCCCAAAATGAATATAATCTAAATACCAGGGTGAGGGTCGCCATTAAAGAAGCCATCAATGTATAGTTGATGAGCGTATGCACGGGTTATCTCTTCGACCAGTTTTTGCTTGTCAACACCAAATGCCTCCAATGAATCATTATCATTTAAGCGAATCCCATCCATATATTCCAAAATTAGAACCTTGTCAGTTGACTGACACACAAAAGAACAGTCTGTCAGATGACGGTAGCTTGATTTTCGGAAATTAATATGACAAAAAGTATAGAAACTGACAGATAGACCTGAATAACTTCTGGAATGAGTACATCAACAACATTGGAAACACTGCCACTCCCACAGTCAGTTTTGCGACTAAGATTCCTGGAGACGGCCCTAGTATTCTCTAAAATTGAAGAATTTATACCATACATTATCAAGACAATCTCTTCATGAGACACTAGGCTTTGACTCTAATTTTAAAGAGAGGGACAGAACATGGAAAATCGCGCAGAAAGCATATGGCAATATTAGCAAGAACCTGAGCAAGGAAGATACCTGCTTCATGGTTGAAATCAAGTTCCTTTGGAGCCTCCTTGCACCATTCATCAATCATTGGATTAAAATCATACTGAGGCTCTGCCCACGCTATCCATTCAACCAATGATTTTGCATTCTTCAGATCCTGACCACCAATACAAAAATGTAATAGACTCCAACTGTGCTAGACAGCATACTTGCAGGTTAGAGATAAACCTCTAATATGATCTCCTTGACACCATCATGCTGAATTTTGACAACTACTTCTCTGCCATCTGCTAGAGTTGCACGATGAACTTGCGCTATCTGTTACCAAATGTTCATTGGGAGGCTCAAATGAAATGAGCACACTATGATTTATATCACATAACTAAAGTTAAAAAGGGCAGACCCAGTGCCGGAGGCTCCCACATGAGTGGGGTCTGGAGAAGGGAAAAACCGAGGCAAGCCTTCCCCCTGCAAAATCTGCGGAGAGGCTGCTTCGAACCCGTGACCTGGTGACTCAGTAAGATAACTAAAGTTCACTTTGATAATACAGTACTTACTGATGCGGTTGCGAGAGGGTCCACGACAAAATCAGCAAATAGATCACTCATGGGTTCTCCAAGTTCTTTCTCTATTGTTCCACGAACCTGCACAGCAGAGACAAGAACTAGGATAAGTAATTGCTTAAGTAACCTGCACGTCAATACTATATCAGGACCAGACAAGAATTATCAATCTTTGATTCTTCCATTCATTCAAGGACAAGCATGCGTACCTCTTCAAAAGGGCGTGGAGGAAGTGAATCCTGCAACTGCTTGAGGACAATTATGTAGGGTTCAGGAAGTACATCTGCTCTTGTGGATAAATATTGGCCCATTTTCACCCATAAACCTTCTAACTCTATCATCAGGTTGAGGACACGGCGAGCATTTCGCTCATGTGTTTTCTTCCATATAGCACTCTTTTTACCAGTGCTAACCCATTGAACTCTCTTCTGAACAGCCTGCTTGTGCATCAAGAAGATGTTAATCTGTTTCGAGAGAATGGAAGGGGCTGTCTTTGGACAAACATCATTGAGAACAGGAAAAGAATCACACCTTATAGTCGAAGTAGATAAACAGTGCCATAGAGAGAACCTTGAGGCGCCTGGTAATGGTGTTTCCCCATCCCATTGTAGGTTGGCAAGTCAGGACAAGCAGTGGCAAAAATTCTGGCACACTCTAGGCTCCTAGTAGACCAGTTAGTTTTCTGCAGTGTCACAAGTTCAATAAAGAAGATCCAAATTAGTAATATTTATCAGAACTACTGATTCATTCTCAGGACAGTTAAGACAAGGATTTGACACGAAAATCAAATATATATGAAAGGTTCCATTTCTGTTAAATCAACTAAGGATGGAGTAAATAAACAAACAGCAATAGCAAGGATTCCCCCATAGTTAGTTCCAATCGCTGTCAGTGTCAGGGCAATTATTCAGAGATAATAACTTGACATGATAATCAGATTAACTTGACAACTACCATTTATGTGAGATAAACCAAGGATGGAGTACAGAAGAAAACTACAAAATCATAACTGAAGAGGATTCGAGCATCCACGCCGCACATTAAGTGGCATGCCAATGACATGAGCAAGTAGTTTCCAAGACAATACACACCCAGAAATGCAACAGATGCAGCAGAAAAATGTGAGCATTACGCATGGACACATCACAGCTTGAAAACTTCAACCTTGTCCTCACTCCCCGCAGGGGGGGAAGAGACTATTACCTCCAATCGCTGAGCTCCGCGAGGCGAGGAGGGAATTTGGCGGTTTCGGACGGGCGCTCTGGGCCGCGCGAGTCGAAACTGAACCGGACGGACGGATTCGCGAAAGAGGGAAAAAGAAAAAAAGAAAGGAAAAAGGGGAGCATCAGTTCTGTTCTGAGGTGGTGGGAGAGAGGACAGAAATTTCTGGTCCTGAGGAGGGAGGAGCTTTGCGGAAGCAGAGAATGTGTCTGTGTGGATATATTTTTTTAACAATTTTCTTAAACTAATTTAAAATCTAACAATGTTTAAAAAAAATTCTCCAAAACTAACACTTTTGGTCGCGCTTATTACCATGGCACGGCGAAACGCTGGTAGCGCGGCAAGAGGGATGACGTGGTGACGACCGGGCCGCTGACCGGTGACGTGGCAGGGTCTACCGCGCCACCGATCTTGGCGCGGCACTGACGCGCCCTGATCAGTGGTGCAGCAGAGCCGGCTAGAGGCCCGCGGCCCAATCCCACCGCGCCATGCCCTGCCCACCCGCCTGCCCGCACGCACCCGCGCGCGCCTGCCCGCCGCGCAAGTCCGCCGTCGCGCCTGCGCCGCACCCATTGCTCACAAGAGCATTATCGTTGCCTAGTGCATGATCGTCCGTGCAACCCACACGGCGCACTCGACAAATGTACCACACGGCCAACACGGCGCAGTCAACTAATCTGGGGATGGATAGACTATAGATTATATTGTTCAGCACTCAACAGAGTAAGCTGTACTACTTTGTTCCCTTATCTAACAAAACAGAGTAAGTTATACCCTTACCAAGCATAAAAGCTTTAATATCACTACTATAAAAGTTGGCACCAACGGCTGACACACGTGATCATAAGCGACTCTTATCAAACCCAAAAGCACAAGTTAAATTCAGCAGCAGAAAGCACTTCCCAAATCTCAATCTTTGCGAATGATACGCACATTCATCTTGTAAGAAGTAGATATCTCACGGCTGTAAATTATTGTCACGTGCAAACCGTACCCACCCTTTAGAAAGCCTTTTAACTTTGCGTTGAGCTTTTGAACCTGAATGCGGCAAATCACTTCCCAACTCTTGCCATGACACTGAAGAATCAACACTCTGCTCTTCAATGAAAGACATACATCAAAGTATTTTCTGGAGAATTTCTAGTTATATAGGAAAAGGGTTTTCAGTGTTCGAAAGTCAAAATAGTTAAGTTTTTCATTGAACTTAGCTTGTAAATTTCTTTAAGGAGTCTAGGAAGTTAAACAACCTGCTTGCTGCAATTGAAATGCAATATTAATATTAATCTGGAACTAAAAAAAGAGAAAAAACCTAACTCACCATAGCTTGAGATATTCCAGAAATGTTTGACTTCTTCACGACACACACATAGATGGGGATTTCAGAACAAATAGCTAGGAGTCTCTCTTTCAGTTTCTTCTTTTGCATACTATTAAGTCGGTGCCTCGTGGGAGCATGTAACTCGGAACAGAATGTGCTTCATCGCCCTCTGAAGATGTCATTCCTCCTATGACCAAACAAAATAATGATGTCATGATCTTGTAGATATACATATATGCTACTAGGTTTGATGACATTGTGACTCAACCTGATGAGTTGGATAGGGATCTTGATGAACTGATACTGATTCTACTACTGTACCTTTGCTTCAATGCTTTCTTTTTAGTTTCTGGTGTTCTCATGGAAAGATTAGCATAGCTGCTTGAAATATCAATGGGTTCTTCTCTCTTCCGTCCACCACTAATAGCATTTTTCGTGATAAAACATGGTGGTACTTTCTCGCAACCACTATGATCAAATATCAGAACCTTGATCCGATACATCACATCATACTTGAATACCAAGAAGTCCATCTTTTTCAAGTCATGGGCACTAACAAATGACTTCCACCTAGATTGAAGCACTATTCTGCCTATATTCTTTGCAACTTGAACATCAAAAGTATAACCGCCAAGTGATTAAGAGTAATACTTCCTTCTATTTTGTCTCCGAAATGTTTAGCAAATTTACCCGGTATGACCTGCGGCACCAAGATTAACGCAAAACAAAGTTCAGATGAGGTAAGGGGATTGTATAAATTCTACCTGCGGGCGGCCGGAGGGGGTGGCGCGGCGGGAGTGGCGCGCCGGCGTGCGTGGCGAGGCCAGCGCGGCGGGCAGGCAGCCAGGCGCGGTGGGCGCGTGCGGGCGCGACGGGAGTGGCGCACCGACGTGCGTGGCGAGACCGGCGCTGCGGGTGGCGTGCAGCCGCGGCCGGCGACAGGCGCGGCGGGCAGGCGCGGCGGTCACCGATCACGGCGCGGCAGACCCTGCCACGTTACCGGTCAGCGCCTCGGTCGTCGTCACGTCAACCCTCTTGCCGCGCCATCATGCATGGCGCGGCATAGGTGTTTCGCCGCGCCAGGAAAATAGGCGCGGCAAAAAATGTTAGTTTTGAAGAAAAAAAATAAACAGTGTTAGATTTAAAATTAGTTTACAAGAAATGTTAAAAAAATCCCCTCCGAAGGGTGAAGGCTCGACGCTTGCGACCGAGGGCGAGCAGCAGCAGAGCGCTGTGCCCAAACCGAGGGCCAAGCAGGCGCCTGGTGCCTCAACCCTCAGCGGCTCCGCCATCGTGTCCTGTGTAGCCGCGGCCATCGGCCACGTGAGCCCGCCGTGTCGCAGATCGAGCAAGAGCAGCTTGTGCCCGGTGCCCCATGACCGGTTAAATTAGGTCTTCGTACAATTTATAGGTCCATAAGTTTTTATCTTTCTGTATATTTTGCAATGTATCATATATGGATCAACTCATGAAGAACTATTAATTTATTTTTAAAATTTGAGGTAACATCTTATATTGCTTATCCACTTTTTCACCATAATTTATGTGATTGTAGCTTTTTTTGTCTTAATTTGTATGATTTTAGTATGCAATTACGGTGCGATTTGATTTTCTCATTAGAACTTGTCCCACCTATAATTTTTTTTTCTGGCTCCGTCATTGGTTGCTTTAGTGGGGCCGTCGATCAGTGACAGGCCCTAGGGGATCAAGCGAAGTTAGCCCATTCATTCGTAATATAACCCTCAACACATCCAATCCAATTAAATGAACAAACGGAGCTGTTCGTCTTCTCCAAAGCCACAGTTTCGGTTCGGCGGCGGCAGCGGCGAGGCGAGCGCGTACCACGGATAGGTGGGTTTGAACCTCCACCAGCTCCACTACGCAGGGGCGGATCCAGGTCCCGGGCTAGGGGGGCCTGCAGTCCGGGGCGCAGCCCAAATTTCCTTCAAGCAAGTCTTCCGCAGCTCATGGACATCTCCGACATTCAGCCCAAGATAGCCCCTTCTGCAGCCAGCCCAAGCAACCCTTTACTAATTAGCCCCCTCTGGATGATGTTTCTAGATCCGCCCTTCGTCCAGGTGAGCGTAGTCGAATGACGCCGTAGACGATCTATCTAGCTAGTCGTGAACGTGAGTCTGATCTCCTGGCGGCGATCGAGGGGCGTGTCGATGCATGTATTAATTGTTGCAGCACAGTTTGATCGATGGCCAGTGCATTTTTTTTGTTTCTGTTTCTTTGTGTTCTCTATCTATCTATATAGGACCAATCGCGCGCTTGTGTGACCAAAACTGTCATTATCATCCATCTTTGCAGATTCATATGTAGGCTAGTTGGCAACGAAGGAAAGAAGAGATCGATCGGGGGCAGCAGCTCGAAGTAGGGAATTAGTTAGAGTCGATCGACGATCGCATCGACGACGATGGGCCTCTCGCGACGGTTTCTGAATCTGATCGTGAATGAGCACAGGCCGACGATCCTTGATCGGCACTGGCCGGGCGTGACATCGCTGCGCAGCATCGACCTCGGGCGCCACGAGCTCTTCTACCCACCGGGCACGCTGCCGCCAGCGGCCTTAAAGGTGGAGGAGCTCACGCTTCCCTCCCCGACCTTCAGCTTCAGAGGCAGCCGACAGGGCCGCCTGCCTGTTGCAGATCGCAAGGTGCTCTGCATGGACCAACACAAGCACGCCTTCCTCTTCGACGCGGCGACGCGGCACGTGGTGACCATACCCACCCGCCGCTTCTTCAAGGGGATGCCCGTCTCCGTCTTCGTCCCCAGCGCCAGCGCTAGCGACGATGACGGTGATCCCGACGGCACCCTCTTCGTCATGGAGATCTGGCCCGAGCACGAGGCGAGATGCCCTGAGCCAGAGTCCGAGCAGTTCGAGGCTTTGGTGTACCGCAGGTCCAGCACGAGCTCCACCGCCAAATCCTCGCACTCCCAGCTCCTCCCGCCGCTGCCGTACCTCCGTAACCCCAAGTACTGGAAATTCAACGTCGGTATCACCTCCGACGCCGTCGTCGGCGGTGGCTCCCACATCTGCGTGTCCTTGGAACTGTCACCGTTAGGCTCTGTTCGGAATACGGGAAAAAAAAATTCGGTTCCTGTGGGAATTTTTTTTTTCTATTCTTACGTTTTTTCCTTGTAAAAATGAACTGATTCGTACGTTCCAAACAGCCCCAAACACGGTCGAAGGAACGCTTGGAAATAAAAAACGAGGTCGCCGTCGCCGGCACGTACTGCCTGGACACCGCGAGCCACACGTGGAGCAAAGTCGGCGATTGGAAGCTACCCTTCGTCGGCAAGGTTGAGTACGTTCCCGAGCTCAAGCTCAGGTTCGGCATCTCCGCCTCCGGTTCTGAGTCCGGCTCCGGCAAAGGGGAACTGGCCGCCGCTGACCTCTCCGCCATGGACTCCGATCATCGGCCGGAGCTAGTGGGGACTTGGGAGGAGATTGATGGCACGGCCATGGCCCGGTACGGATGGTGGCTGGATCGTGCACGTCAACAACCTCATCGCCTTGCTTACCTTGGCTCCGGGATGTTCTGCATTTTAAGGTTCTTCCAGCCCGCCGACTTCCGTAGCCTAGAGCGTTTTGCTGTGTTGACCGGTGTGGAGGTAACGCCGCAAGCGCACGATGGCAGTCGCAATGACGGCGGGGAAGCTAAACTCCAAATGATCAGGCACAAGTCGAGACTCGTGTCATCTGACACTTGCATCGATGCTGTGTTCTGATCGTCTAGTCTAGGAGCACTATTTAGATATGCATGGGTCTTTGTTTTCTAGATATCAGAACCTGTTTAGCATTTTATATTATATATATATCGTCTCAACACATTTAGGTCTTGTGTCTTTAAATTCCTCTGTTCTGTGAAATTTTTTTTGAAGAATTTGTGTTCTGTGTTTTGATATTCTTTCGATTAAATTAAATTATTAGTTTGAACAATGTCTGCGGATCCTAATGGGCAGTAACAGCACTGCAGCGTATTACTCTGGCAGTCCTTTGATCAACAATAAATCTCATAAATGTATCGTGTGATTATGCACATTGCTAGTACAGTGGAAAAAAAATAAAACGACGGGATGGTTAACCTTTCTCATTTGATTAGTATGTTTAACATCTTTGAAATTGCGAGTAGATCATGTACATATATAATTGTTGTAAAAAATATGTTGCTAATTGCATGTATTAAAATATGTCTAAATTTAACTAAATATTATCTAATATACTCCATCCGTCCCTAAATAACTATCGTTTTGGTTTTCATGCCAAAAGTTTGACTAGATTTGTAGAAAATGTGTTCAACATTTGTATCTCCAAATAAAATTGTTATAAAAATAAATTCAACGATCTATCTAATGACATTAATTATGTACCATAAATATTAATATTTTAATATAAAATTAATCAAATTTATTTCTTAAAACGAGAAACGATAATTATTTAGGGACGAGAGGAAGTATACTGCATGCCCTCCATCGTGGGACAAGGATCAAGATTTTTTTGGCATAAAAACAACACACATGCGTGAATACCACACAAATTAAAACCGGATCTCCGCAAAACTGAAAAAAAAAACTGCGCTGACAGTTCGTCTACGTGATACAGTAGCTCGTCAAGGGTCACCATCAAAACAAATCCAAAGAGCGAGTAATAATCACTAAATATATGGTTAACCGAATAACAAACTTAATCTCCTCCATTTCCTATCCTATAAAAAATATATTTTTGTTTTTTAAAAAAACTGGCATCTATTTTAGGAGATCCAAACCACCACGTATATATAGGATGTCGTTCCCAAGACCTTAGCTAGCTGCACCTGCACGCTACGCCGCCATCCTGCTGGGCTCTGTGTGCTCGCTCCGGCAGCGGCAAACCCCAGGTCCGCCCTCCGCCGCCACCAGCCTTCTCGTCATGTCCGTTTGTGCAATAGTTCGATCGAAAGCCATCGCGTGGAGAGAATCTGTAAGGCTTGGAGCTGCCGCATCCCACGAAAGGAGGAAACAATTGCCCTGTTCGCTCCTGGCTTATCAGTTATCATACTGTATTTTTCTCTAACAATAAATCAGTCAACAATACTTTTTAGCCTGGCTTTTCAGCAAAGCTAAGCTGGAGACAAACGTTTTCTATGTAATCTAAACGCCCCTCAACCATATAATCTCCTAATGTAACAGTGCAAGACCCTGCCTTCCACCAACCAGTTCTCCCGGGTATAGGTGGAATGGAAATGCAGGTGGAGATCAGTTTCGATCCCCCAAATTGACCTCAAAAAAGAAAAGCATCGCGTTTCTCAATCTGGAGATGGACATGTGGTGTGCAATCTCATCAGCTCATGCATCCTCCTCTCTGTGTCTCTCTGCAAGTATCTGAGTCAATCTGGAGGTGGCAGCATGTCCCGGAAATTCCTGAGTCTGATCGTCAACGAGCAAACCCCTGGCCACAAAACGCTGCGCTGCATCGACCTGACGCGCCAGAAATTCTTTTACGACGCACCGCCGCCGCCGCCAACAGACGGATCAGATGGATCAGCGGGAGGAGCTCGAGACGCCGCCACCTCTCGGCCGGCGGCGGCGTCACGGTCTGTGGGGAGGGTTTGCCTCCCCAGGCCCAGCTTCACCTTCCGACCCGGGGACTCCAACGCGAGCGACGAATGGGGGATGCACTGCTTCCCGCTCGGGGACCGCAAGGTGATCTGCGCGGACCAGTCGGGGCTCGCCTTTGTCTTCGACGCCGAGACGCGCATCGTCGGCGCCATGCCCAGCCTCGGCAGGCCCAAGCGGATGCCCTTCTCCCTCCCCAACAATACGTGCGTCGAGATTCGGCAGGCCCAGGCACAAGTCGAGACGTCTCCACGGCGGTGGCACTATCGACACAATGTTCTGAACAAATTTTGGGGCTTTGCGTTATTGCTTCCCCCAGTTCCCCTGAGACAATGTTTTTTTAATTTCATGACTCTGGTAGCAGGTGGTAGGGTACCAGTTTTAATTTATCCATTGTGTCGATCGTATAGCAGTGTGCTAATCTCTGAATAATTTTGTTGGGAGAAGTATGCACTTGAACCGTATGCATATCAATCAGCTGCATCTAGCCGTAATGTTCTGGATGTTCCTGTGCAGTGACGACTTGTGGTAATGTTCGTCAGTATATGCTTCAGAACCAGATTCTGGATTCACCCCTTGCTCTTGTAGTCTTGTTTTAGTGCAGAACAACTGCCAATTCCCAATTTTGCCATATTAAGCATGCTTTCTCCCTCAAAAAAAAAAAAAAAAAAACTCTCCTCTTAGGTTATATCAAAGGGTTATCACATACCAGTGTCAACTGCCAACCTCACCTCTGTATGCTGGACAATGTCTTCTTAGAGAAACTGAGAAAGCAAGCGGAATTACTGGACACCGAATCCCTTCCATGTTCCATTCAGATTCATTGAGGAAACAATCGACGTAAGCTGTAAATCTGAACAGCACTTCAGCGCAAGTTGATCGATCATTTGACACTTGACAGAAGCTTCTGCATTTACTTATCAATTGATGTGCCAAGCGATTGAACCATGGGCCCTTAACAAAAAATGTGACTTCGGTCATGATCACGCCTAGATAAAGTAAAATCCAAACACCTTTCTTTAGAATCAAAGAATAAGCAAACCTTGCCTTTTGTCAATAGATGCAAAAATTACTTATGGTTCTCATTTGCAGGCAGGTAAATAAAGAAATGCAAAGGGAAAAAGAAGATTCGGTACGGAGGAGATCGAGGAACGCGAGAGCGAGCTAGGGCTTGGCGGGCAGGAGCCGTGGTGGCGGCGGCAAGAAGTGACGATGAACAGTAACGAGGCTGGGTACCCAAGGGAGACAGTAAGTCTCAATCCCAGGTTACCTCTTCTATTATAATTCTTTAATATTTATACAAGGAGATCTCAACCGACTCAAACCTAATTCAATCCAATAACCAACTCTAATAGATAACCGTCCTAGATTCTAGGACCTGAGAACCAACAGGCTGGCTAAGCCGGACTCCTAGCCAACCGGCTGGCTAAGCCGGACTCCTATCCAGGCGTCTACGCCTATAGACCTTACCGGTCATAACAATCTGTCTGCAGATGACTCAAAATATCTGAACTCAAGAAGTCATAGGTCAACTTAAAAGAACAAATGGTGGGACCAATGTGTAACTAAACTTATTCAAGTTTGGCCTTCCAGTTTGCGTACGAAACTACGAAAGCCACTCGCCTTCTGACGGCCAAAAACTATATATTTGAAGAAAAATAGTCCAGTTAGACTTACAAATGGCATTATAGAACTCAATATGATGCATACATAGTGTTGCATCATATATGGTGGCAGTAATGAGCCACAATATCTATGGCTAAGTTGGTATCTGATAGTGACAAAATGAGAATTTAAAAGCGCAGCCCCTCGCCCCAAGTAATGCAATATCTCAAGTTGGGGTTTATATAGCATTGCATGACAAATATTACAACCTTACTTCACATAAACGTTTCACTGACAGTTATATGTAGATACAAAATTGATAGATAACTAGAAAATACGGCGCGGCAAAGCCACGCCCTTCCTAGATGTGCCAAGTGTATTTTTGGTTTTGCTCCACAACATTTGCACCCTGATAATTGGACTATGTTGAATAACTGAATGAGAATGCCAAAGAATTAATCACTGATCCAATTATTTTATACAATGGTATAGAATAGAAGTTAGTGAGAACAATTAATTTTTTTGGATCAATCAAAAGAATAAAAGGGAGAAAAAATGCATTGTAGGATTGCATAATTTTTCTCATAGCTCACCAGCTTTTTACTTAATAGAAACTCTATTTGTTTTGATAAGCATCAATCAATTTAATTAGCAAGAATATGAATGGGACCCATATGTGATTACATTTGATTCAAAGATAAATATATTTTTCATGCTTATTTAATCCAAATAAGGTGCACCAAAAATGCATTACATGATTATATGACAGCTTTGGGAAGTATAATTGTTTACAGGTCTAGGAACAGACAACTTTGTCAACATATTCATCCATTGCTGATCCAAATTGAGCTGCAATCTGTACCAAGTTAGCAAACTCCTGTTTCTTTAATAATTGGATATACCAGATATTTTCAGTTGTCAGGAATAAGGATAAACCCTGCTATCATTAGCGCATAAGATATAAGATATCAAAAATGAGGTATGCAAATGTTGTGAATTGACAGTTTTCATTAGTGCTGATGCCAGGAATACTACTATTTTAAGATTATACTGTTACAGAAGTAGTTATAAATTAGAGCAAAGGAACTATGATGAAAGTAGAATTGTATATGTGTGGCAATAGGGTGTAAACTTAGTATTGGTGTTAGTCCCAGGCTGCTACTTAAACTATGCAAAAATAATTTTAGGACCATTTCGCATGTCCCTTATCCTATAATAGATTGACACAACCTGATAAACAGACTGTTTCTAGAACCTATAATAGCTTCAGTTGATATATCTGTTTTAACACATGGATAATGTCTATGCTATACTGATTTGCCTCCATGTACTCGCCCTCTCCGCCTTGGTGACACTTACATGGGCAGTACAAATATTGGAGTAATGATGTTCATGTGCATTTATATAGTGCTCCACTATTCCTGTTATAACATGTACTTGAGCTGCCAATAAAAAAAGCTGCATGCATCTAGATTGTTTAGGATAATCGATTAGGAATCATATTTGAAGCTGACACTATTTTGTTGGTGGAAGAAATGAGAAGATAAGGTCGGCTCTCTTCTCAGCTATAACTGGGTGGGCAACAAGTTTTAGATTTGCATTGCTCTCTCTACTGATGTTGAGCTTGGGCTTCAGAGACAACAGTAGTCCTTGAGCTGCTGTTTATGGCTTGCTGTAAAAAGGGGATACAAGTAAAATTACATTATAGATACATTAAATATTATTTACTTTTGAGATATGTCATTCTTGAATATTGACGGAAGATTTGTTCTTTTCTTTTACCTTGCCAAGTATGCAGGATGTGTTGGGGAGATGGAGTAGTTGCTTAAGTATATCAGAAGACAACAATCATGCTGGTGTATATGTGAAGGTTCTTCAACTGTACACATACGTAGAGAAACAATTATGAAAATGTATTTGTGTTAAAAATAATTTAAATCATTATTAACTCAGCAATTTATATGAAGTCATTCGCGTTAAAAATGACCTTTTAAGTAATTCAGAAGCAGTGTCTTAGATGAAATGTAATATTATAATAGTGATAGAATCGTGCCTGTACCTGCCTCGATTGTAGTTATTCTCTTTGTGATAGCTCTCAACAGTCTGCAACGAATATATCAACAAAGATTGAGAAAAATGGAAATGCTATGGATATGATGATCCTTACAAATATGTCGAGACATGTGACTCAACAATCATACTGCATGGCGCTTGGAAACAAGGATGACACAGGCTGACAGGCATTGCATGCCTGCTGCTAGACAGTTCCCTTTCACACTCTTGAACCATCTACACTTCTCAGTTCTCACGGACAATCCGTCGAGCACTCGGTGTGCAGCGTTGTTCAGCAGTGCGAGTGTGCAACAGCCCACGTTTATCTCGGTCCGGTGGTCGTCTATGGTGCTGCAGGCGAGATGGATGCAATGGGGAGCCGTGTGATGCGATCGACGGAGTCGCTGACTCACGTACCAGGCTTGTGCGACATGGTTGTTGCTTGCTTGGTGCAGCCGTGCAGGTGAAGGCTGTCACCAGGGAGGTAGACGGGCGTCAGTGACGGAGGTAGTCGGTCCCCGCATGAGCTCCTGGAGTCCTGGCCATGGCCACCGCCGTCGGCGAGCCTCGTCGCCGATTCGTGCGATTCCTTGGCCGCTGCATCCGTGCAGGTGGCCGCTTGTGCCCAGGCCATCGCACATCGGCCCGCCCGTGCCGGGGGACGCCCGCGCTGGTGTGTCGTCCCGTCGCCGGGGCCACCCGTGCCGGGTCTGGTGCGCAGGGGCGTAGGGCCGCCGCGTGCCACCGCCGAGGAGGCGCCATAGGGGAGTAAGCGGTCGCGGAGGGGACAGGAGCTGCCGGCGCATGAGCAGGCCAGCGCTAGGCGGAAGGCGGCGCGGAGATAGGAGCAGCGGCGGAGAGACTAGGGGACGGGCGCGTTCGCGACGTTTCGTGACGGTTTCGCGGCTTAACGGGTGACTGATCCACTATGACCCGGTTCGTTTGGCTGTGACCTATCGTAAACGATCGTAAATTTTCAGCTCGAACAGTATTTTTCTCTCACACAAATCAGTCAGCAGTACTTCTTCACGAACCATCAACGAAACGAACCAGCCAACCGAACAGACTCGATCTGACGGATAACGGGCTAATGGGCGACGTGGCCTGATCCATTGCCCGTCTTTCGGAAGCAGGATTCCTATATAAAGATCTGGCAACTCAGTTCCTTTCTTCATTAGATACACAATTACAATTATGCCATTTTATTTGACGAAAAGAGAAATACCTAATGCATATTGATGACATATGTTCAAAGTTGATCGATGTATCACAATACAGTTCACTTAACTCCAGTTCTGTATGAATAATTGACCTCCTAGGCTGCCTATGAGGTGTATGGTCTAATAATACCAAGAAAAAATTGTTCAACCGGTTCCATCCCTGCTTCTAATAATATAGCCCATTGCTGTCATCCAATTAGAAGTCTGGACAGAGCCAATTAACTGCTTCATAGACGACTTAGTTTAGACCCCATTGCCCCAACTCCAATCCAGCTATCTTGAAGTCTACTAGAATATTATTCTAATTGAGCTCACCCATCTACATATACAAATCTCTCTAGCATCACAAATATAAGGTAGACGATACATACCAGCTCACAAGCTTTCAAGGGCAGGGTCAGCTACTCAGACTTCAGCTGGAGATCATGAAGGTTAGCAGCTATCTTCTTTGGCCTTTTAACTTTTATTTTCTTTTGCAACAATTTGTGCGATTTGTACCTTCAAAAGAACATGATTTTTTACAAACTATGTTCATGTACACTGTTACCTTTGGTAGAAGTGATTACTAATGTCCTTATATATATATCAACCAGCTGAAGTAAAGTTTATACATGATTGAAATTATTATTTGATTTTGTAAATATTGACAAACTCTGCATAATCACTGGTAGCCCACACTGCGAACAATTATGGGCAGTTTGAGATGAGTCGAACACTTCACCTTCTTATGATATACAAACTATATATATTCTTATTTTAAATCTCTAATTGTATATCTCCAGTCCATAACTCAGCCCATGGGGGAACAAAACTACAACTATCTGAGTAAGGATGCATAGTGATGCTATGTGATAAACTGATAATGTTCATGTTAACTAATATCACAGTTCACTTGGATACTGAAAATGGAATGAGAAATACAGGTCAGATCAAATGCTGACCGAGGTAATGTCAAAGAACGCTGTGTATTCTCCATGTAATTTACAAACAATTGGAACTGGAGGTCCTGACGCTGGACATATCAGCCCCTCAGAAGCTTTGCCACCAGGTGTCCCCAATATCAGCCCTAAGCCAGTGTTTTTTGTTACGACTGGGAAGACACAGTTATTGAATTACTCATTCCGAACTGGAGAAGAGTTTGCTCTTGAATTCATGCAAGACAGGGCAAACACAAGGAAGCCTTTGGTTTCAATCACCTCTGATGATAGGAACATCAAAACCAGCTACACTCCTTGGGGGGAAGAAGCTAATATTTCTGGAGATAAACCATCAAAGAAGCTGCTGACATTTCCTTCAATCAGTGAAACTCATCAACAAACAAATAAGAGGTACCAACAAGAGATATATAACTCTGGATCAACTAGAATGAAGTTCCTTTGCAACTTTGGTGGCAGATTCCTACCAAGGCCAGTAGATGGAAAGCTCCGGTATGTTGGTGGTGAAAAGCATCTGATTCAGATAAGTCAAGGATTGTCATGGCAAGAACTGATCAGCAAGACAACCAAGCTCATCAGGCAAGCTCACATAGTCAAGTACCATTTGCCAGGAGAGCAAGTGAATGTGCTCATCTCTGTTGCCTCTGATGATGATGTTTACCATATGATTGATGAGTGCATTGTCCTAGAAGAAAGCAAAGAACGGTCAACTATGTACCTATTTACTGATGAAGATGATGAGCACCATGTACATTTTGTGGTAGGAAGCTCATCAGATGAAGATACTGAAGCACAATACATTGCTCTGATAAATGGATACAGATACACTGGACCAGGTGAGAAATTAAGTGCACGAGGACCTGGGAGTGCATCAGCCAGTGATCTGGATCAGCTGATGTTTGATATTGATGACGCAGGATCACTGACAGGCACAGGCAGGACAGAAGAAGCTTCAGCATGCCTTAGAAGCAAGCATTCACAAAATATTGTTACAGAAACATCAAAAGAATCCAGGATTCCTCTACATAAGTTTCCTCCCATTATCATGGAACAAATGACCAATCAAGACTGTGCTATACAGAGTAATAAAGGCGAGGCGAGCTCCTATCCTACCAGAAAGCAGTCAAGAAATGTTAACCTTGCTTCATCCATGCCGTTGGAATTCACATATCCGTCTAAGTGGGAGCAAAATGGTAGTAACAGCACCTCAAGGCAGATTCCTGAACTGCACAGGACAGCAACCGACATATCCAAGATAGGTCATAATGCAGAAAGAGATAAGGAAAGTGCATCATGAAGAACAGAATTGATGATACCATCAGACGAGAACAACTTGAGGATGCCATCACTGAGTACAAACTTCAGCAGCATGACACAACATACAAGTCCTGTCAACAAGTTGCTGAGAGAACAGACTGAGACAATCGTCCAATTTATCCAATCCAACAATTCAATCGACTTTCAAAAATTGGTGACAGAAGAGCCTGGTGGAAGATCTGTATATGAAATGCTTGCATCTCCTTCAGGAGATTATCAAAAACCAGTGCACAAATGGCCGAGTTCTGATGAAAGCATGATAAACACAAGATGTAGCTCCCAAGAAGACATCATCCCTTATTCTGATACAGATCAGCTCAACAAAATTAGAAGCACTAAGTTACAAAACAGGACAGAGTGGCTTGCTCCTACCCAGATATCTGGGTCAAATGAAGCAGGAACTCACATTTTGTGGGATGACACACACATCAATGTGACGAATCCATACACCCATGAGCAGGTATTTTCAGTGAATACTACCGGTTGTATAGAGCATATTCTTCCTGATGTCATGCACACTGATGTGGCCAAGAAAGATAATCTTTCTATGCCAATGGTCTATGACAGTGAAATGGCATGTTCCCCACGTCCTTTTACATCTTCAGACAACAAGGCAGCTGAGCTGCAAAAAAATAGGCATGTGCATGCTTCTGGAGAAAAACAGCAAGCTTCTCCCGATAGCAGACAGCAGGACATACAGATTGCTAGGTCTACTTCACTGGGAGGTGAAGGCAACCATATGCAGATTGGATCTTTATCAGAAGAAGTTACAGAAAATTTTCCATCATCAATCTCAGAGCTTGAGGTACACCTCATCACCTCCACATATGTACTCATGAGAGCTAACTTCGGAAGCAATTTCCAAGACATGATTGCATTTCCTCTTATGGCAGGTACACGAAACCAGGGAAAATAAACAAGCCCTTCCTGCAAATGCAACATTGGACAGAGACATTATAAGCAACGTACAGGTGTGTAGCTCGTTTGTAAATTAAGGTAGAATCTTCAGTCCCAAGACATAAGTTCAACTAGAAGCAAACCCCGCGCGTTGCTGCGGGAATTGCAGATTAGGGATTGCATGATATGATGATGTGTTCAACAAAATACTTATGTGTCTTGCTAACATAGTGCATGTTGCATGTTGAGACAAATAGCTAGTGGGGTTTTGCTTTATAAGAGTATAAGATTACAACTACATATGTTTGTGAGAATCTGTATAATATTTTGTACGGGATCCACAATATGCGAGTTTCACTAAGAAAAAAGGAATATGTATAATATTGCGCAAGGAACTAAAAGATATGGATGGAAGGAACTAAAAGAAATGAAGAACAAAGAAACTTTAGTACAAGAAATATTGCACAAGGAACCATCACTGCACACGATTTTCCAAAATGTACCATTGATTATTCGTTTTACTTACATCACAGGTAATAAGCAATGAGGACCTCGAAGATCTGCAGGAGATGGGCTCTGGTGCATTTGGAACTGTCTTCCATGGAAGATGGAGAGGAACAGATGTTGCCATCAAACGGATAAAGAACAGCTGCTTCATGTATTCATCACCTGAGACAGATAAACTGGTTAGTTCACATGATGAATTGAAGTTACAATCACGATCATAGACTTAGTAGTTAGTAGAAGTCTCCCAGGACATAGTGACCTAGGTTTTGCTCATCAGAAAACAGTAACCAATTTTATCATGCAGATTGTGGAGTTTTGGAGAGAAGCAGCAATCCTCTCGAAACTTCACCACCCTAATGTGCTGGCATTCTACGGGATTGTGAATAATGGACCTGGGGGGACATTAGCAACTGTGACAGAATTCATGGCAAGTGGATCTCTCAAGAAAGTCCTTTTGCACAAACAAAAATTACTTGACCGGCGCAAACGGATTACTCTTGCTATGGATGTGGCTATTGGAATGGAGTACTTGCATTCTAAGGATATAATTCATTTCGATTTGAAATGTGACAACTTACTGGTGAATCTCAATGATCCATCTCGTCCGATATGCAAGGTGTGCCACTTTTTCATCATTTTATCATTTGTGTTGATCTAAAATGAATGATGAGATGTATATGTATATAAGATGGGGGGAATGTCAGCCCTGTTCCCCGTCAAGCAGCTGTCCACCAGCACATGCAGGTGATAGGACTTGATGCCCTACCGGCGTTACTGCGCAGGTTATAGGGGTGGAAGAGGGAGGACGACGTTTGTACTCTTGACGCGTCGGCGAGGGGCCGTGGCGGCGAGAGCGGCGGCTGCTGCTGCAGCCCTAGAGTTCACGTAGCGCTACAAAAACGTGGGTACTGTTCACACGAGGGAGAGAGGGCAGGGACGGCTGGCTCCCAAGGGAAGCCAGCAACTTAATTGTTGCTTTCTCCCTAGAGTTCACGTAGCGCTACAAAAACGCGGGTACTGTTCACGCGAGGGAGAGAGGGCAGGGACGGCTGGCTCCCAAGGGAAGCCAGCAACTTAATTGTTGCTTTCTGCTTAATTCCAATCATCCCCGATTACAAGTATTTATCCTTCCCTATAGATGCTATAATTAAGGAACTATATATATCTCTAAGAAAATACCAAATAAGCGATAAATTGGGCCTCTAAGCCCTTTAACAGACCAGCCCCTAGCCACTATTGGGCCTGGGATGCCGGTCATAACAGCAGGGCACATGGGTGAAGAAGTAGAGTTAAGGGAGGAGGTTAGCAGGCCCAAGAGAGACTGCTAGTCCAATATGCGAGTGAGCGGAGCCGTGGCTTAACATAGTAATGAGTATAAGTACAGTGGTGAGGGAAGAGAAGGGTAGCGGATATGTAAAAAGACACCTGAACTTTAGTCATACAGAGTTCCTCCACCCTATCCTCTGCTTCTGTCCTTCTCTTCTCCAAGGCATCTGTCTGCTAACAGTATAAATGGCCTCTTCTTTTCCAAAGAGCTGAAATGGAGAAACTGATAAATTTCTGCAGGTATCTGATTTTGGTTTGTCCAAGGTGAAACAAACTACAATGGTCTCAGGTGGGATGAGGGGAACTCTTCCATGGATGGCTCCTGAAATGCTTGAAATGAGCAGCAATATGGTATCAACCAAGGTAGGACTCACAAGCTCTCTTTATGATCTAGGAAAGCAGTGATATTACAAGAAAAGGTGTTATGGTATTATGACCCCGTTTGGTGCGGTTTCTGGGTGCTCCGGCTCCGGCTCCAAAATCACTGTACATTACTGTTTGGTGCTGTAGCTTACTGCACATGAAAAAACGGCCCCAGCTCCTTCAAAAATGAACTGAGAAACAGAGGAGCTGGAGTTTTGGGGCTCCAGCCGGACGCTATAATACTACTACAATGATGTTATAGTGCAGGAACCGGAACCGGAGCTGGAGCCCTCCAAACGGGCCCTAGTGTGTTTCTCATATGGCAATCAATAATCTGAAAGCCAACCATTGAATCAAGTGATTTCTTATACTAAGATAACCGAGTTGCTTATTTCTGTTATTCGGGAGGGTCGTGTTGGACCCGGGATCTCCCGCACGGGTGAGCCGGCCGGTCACCGGCGTTCTCGCTCACTATGGCTAGAGGTAGAAGAAGGAAGGGAGAACAGAGCGCACACACACAACACAAGCACCAGTGTTGGCCGGAGCTCTGTAGAGGAGATAGCAAAACTGAACTCTCTCGCTTTATTGAGTTGCAGTGGGAAGCTATATATACAACTCTACCCATCTAAACCTAGTACACAGACATGCCAGTCATCATGTTTCATGATGACTAGATGTGACAAAGATGGTCGACTTTGCGCCTGCCCACCACACCAGCGTGGAGGGAGCAGCGATTACTTTACAATTCTTCCCTAATCCTGCTGCTAACCCTAGAACCTCCACCATGCCGATCATCTTCTTCACCGTGAACCAAGACGGCGGCGAAGCGGCTTGATGAGGACGTCCGCGAAGTTGCGGACCAGTTTGACGAACTCGATGACGATCTGCCCTCCATCGACATAGTCCCTGAGGAAGTGGAACTTGACGTCGATGTGCTTGCTCCGGTCGTGGAGAACCGGATTCTTCGCGAGAGCGATGGCGGGCTGGTTGTCCACCATCAATGCTGATGGGTGAGCTTCCACACCGGTCAGCTCGCCCAGCAGCCGGCGGCGCAGCCCACACCACCTTTTGCAACGCGCCGCTATGGCGCCGCCACGCGCTACGCCTCGCGCGCACGTGATGACGCCACCACCTTACATTTCAGCGACAACCATGAGATTGGAGCCGACCCGAGGAAGACGAGCACGCCAGAGGTGCTCCGCCGTTCGTCGATGTCCCCCCGCCATGTCTGCATCGCAAAACACAGTGAGCTGCAGCCCACTTCCGCCAGTCTTGGGGAAAACGATGCACTGATCCACCGTCCCCTTGACGTAGCGCAGCAGCCGCTTCACCGCGGCCCAGTGATCCTCTCGGGGATCCTCCATGAAGCGTCTGACGTAGCCCACGGCGAACGTAATGTCCGGCCTCGTGTGGACTAGGTAGCGCAGACCACCGACGATGCTCCGGTAGAGTGTTGCATCTACCTTCGCCGCGGTACTGGCCTTCGTCGGCTTCAGCCGCTCCTCCATCGGAGTCACGCAGGGCTTGCACTCAGCCATGCCGCTCCGCTCCAACAACTTTGAGGCGTACGCGCTCTGACCGAGCGTGAGCGCCTCCTTCCCCTATCTCACCTCGATGCCGAGGTAGTAGAAGAGCGCGCGAGATCGCTCATTCGGCGAACGAGCCGCCATCACGCCGCTTGAAGTCGCCGATGTCCTCCTCGCCGCGCGGCGGTGACGATCAAGTCATCCATATACACGCTGACGACAAGCTCCTCCTTCCCCCGTCGCCGCGTGTAGAGCGCGTGCTCGGTTGCACACCTTGTGAACTCAAGCTTGCCCAACGTGGCGTCAAGCTTGGCGTTCCACGCTCGCGGGGCCTGCCGTAGCCCGTAGAGCGCCTTGCGCAGTCGGAGCACCCTGTGCTCCGCTCCCTTGACGGCGAAACCCAGAGGTTGCCTGACGAAGACCGTCTCCGCCAGCTCGCCATTGAAGAAGGCCGATTTTAAGTCCAGGTGATGGACGCGCCAGTCCTTCGCTGCTGCCAAAGCCAGCAGCAGTCGGATAGACTCCATGCGCGCTATCGGCGCAAAGACTTCCTCGAAGTCGATGCCCTCGCGCTGGACAAAGCCTCGGGCGACGAGGCGCGCCTTGTGCTTGACAATGGCGCCGCGCTCGTCCCGCTTGACCTTGTACACCCACTTCAGGCCGATCGGACGGCATCCTAGAGGTGGATCGACGAGCTCCCAAGTCTCGTTTTCCTCGATCGCCTTTATCTCCTCCAACATCGTCCGTCGCTAATTTTCATCGTGCTCGGCCAGCGCGAACATGGGTGGTTCCTCTGCACTGACGAGAAGCAGCTCTGGGTCATTGAGCAGCCGACCCGCCAGGCCTGAGGACCCTGTGCCGCTGATGATGTCGTCCATCCTGCGGAACCGCACCTCCTCACCGTCGTGGAAGGCATCCACGAACTCGGTAATGTCGCTTGGAGGTGAGGCGAACTCGATCGACGTCGATGGAGTCCCCTGTTCCGCCGGAGTGGTCGGCACAGCACCTGGAGTGCTCGGCACCCCGGCTGCAGTGCTCGGCACTACTCCTGGACCGCTCATCACCACTCCTGGAGTGGTTGGCACCACTGTAGGAGTGCTCGGCACCGGTCTTGGAGTGGTCAGCACCACTGCAAGACCTCTCGGCTCCGCTACGGGAGCGTTCAACACCCGTCCTAGAGTAATCGGCACCACTGCAGGACCGCTCGGCACCACTTCTGTAGTGCTCAGCACCCCTCCCGGAGTGCTCGGCACCGCCCCAGGAGTGCTCAGCTCTGTTGCTGGAGTGGTCGGCACCTCCTCTCCAGCGTCTCCACCACCGTGGATGACCAAGTGCTCGACAACGAAGGTGCTGGTGAAGCCGCCAGCTTCCCCCGTGCCCGGACTGTCCCAGTTCCAGGCCGCCTTCTCGTCGAACACGACGTCGGCGAGACAACCACCTTGCCTCCGCGTGGGTCGTAGAGACGGTACGCCTTGGTACCTTCCTCGTAGCCCAGGAGCACCATCGGTGTGCTCCTGTCCTCCAGCTTGGTGAGGACCGGCTTCGTCTTCCTGACGTGGCCGATGTAGCCGAATGTCCGGAGGAAGGACACGCTCGGCTTGCGCCCATACCAAGCTTCGAACGGCGTCACACCCTTCAGGGCCTTTGTGGGCGCGCGGTTGAGGATAAACACCGCCGTGGTCACCGCCTCACCCCAGAACGTTGCCGGCATGCTTTTGGCCTTCATCATGGATCGAGCCATGCCGACCACCGTCTGGTTCCGCCGCTCCACCACGCCATTCTGCTGTGGCGAGTACGGTGCGGTGTGGTTGTCACTTAGCTATTCAATTAGCTATTCAATATATGCTTCTCACTTAGCTATTCAATTATTTGTACTGCCTATATTTATACCAATATATCTGATACTGCAACAGGTTGATGTGTATTCTTTTGGAATCATAATGTGGGAAATACTCACGGGCCAGGAACCATATGCTGGCATGCACCATGGAGGAGTTATAGGTGTGCTATGAAGTTAACATGAACTGTATCCTATGCTCTAACATCACCTGGGGTCCCAAATACTGACTGAAAATTTGCAGGAGGAATTTTGAGCAACACATTGAGGCCACCGGTGCCAGCATCATGTGATCCACAATGGAGGGAACTGATGGAGCGGTGCTGGTCAAATTAGTCTGACAAAAGACCATCCTTCACGGAAGTAGTGAGCCACCTCCGCTCAATGCTAGAAGCCAACCAGAGCAGGCCACTAATCTAACTTCCATGAGGACCGCTATCTATGTATCATTTTAAGTCCATGGTGCAGACATCACTTGTATGTATATTAATATTGTTCAGTACTTCAGCTTCAGCATACCTTTACATTCAATGTTCTTCAATATGTACTATGTCTGTGTGTGTTGGTATCTGTACTAGGGCTTTTGCACAAGGAAAATGTATATTAGATTAGTTGGCTGGTGTGCTATTATGAAACAAATAGTTGGAATGTAAATGTCGATTTCACTTCCTTGCTATCTATTTTACTATTTTAGTAATTGTAGGTGTACTTTGCCTATGGAATTATCCTACATTCAACCATGCCTTTGTAGCCGTCTACTTAACTGGGGCTCCTAATGAGAGCATAACATTGTTAACCAGCATTACTTCAGGTGCAGTTCAATATACAGAACTCGATCTGGTTTAAACTCTAGCACGTCAACGCTCAACATCGGGCATCCTGCGCACATGCTAAGATGCATATAAGGTTTACATACATCTGCAATAGCTTAAGCTCAAACAAAACCCCTCAATCATTGCCACTGCGTAACCAATTTGCAGTGAATCTAAGAAATTCGCACATGAAACAGAAGTGCGTGAAAAAAAGTACTATTGCGGTATTGACAGAGAAATCGCTGTGAACAATAAGCACAACAGGTACAACCTGGAAAAAAATCGCAGCATTCCCCTAATAGAACCTACTACAACAAAGCACCTCACTACATTTTGTGCCTGTCAATCCATGTCGGTCACTGAATGCGCGGCACGACCCAGCGAGGAAATACATCAGGCAGCTCAGATGCAGCACAGGGCCCAAGCGAAGATAACTTACAGAAGCGCGTGATCATGAATGCGAGAATACGGGGTTAGAAACCACGGTACCTGGTTCATGTCAGCACGGACTGACAGGCTCTGAGCATGCACGAGCAGCGGGCGGAGGACGAGAACGGCATCTCGTCCGTCGAGCCACCCCGCACCGCCCGTTGGAGTTGGAGCGCTGAATGAGAATGACGACGACGCAACGGGCTCATCCTTCAACGTGAAAACTGAAAAAGGGCCCGCGTCCGGCAGCTGCTCGCCTGCTCTCGTCGCTGGAAGTCTAACCAGTTCCATACGCTCATCGACGGTGAGCGGCCGCGGCGCTGCTCGCCTCCGTGCCGGAGTCCGGAGAAAGGCATAATGTAGCCGAAGAAAATTCATAAAATGCCCTTCAATGAACTTAACAACGTGGGATTTCTTGCAGAAACGGCCCTTGAACTGCTGATTATGACGTACCCGTCCAACTCGTCTCCTAACATTCCTAACAACCAGTGGCCGGCTCTCTTCCCACAGCCGGTGTTCCGCCACCGCTGACGCCGCCTCTACATGGGCGGTCGGCCTGACGCCTATTGGACCACTTCCACATGGGCCGCCGCCAGACACCTTCCTTGCTAGGACTCGCGAAGTGGCGAAGTTGTTGTTGCCTCCTTGCCCCCACCTGGCCTGGCCACCTGCCAGGGTTTAGTCACGGAGGAAGAGAGGCGCGGAGCTTGGCCGGAAGCCAGGAAGGTGGCAGGCCGAGCCCAGCAGGATGGTAGCTTTCCGGTGGGCTGCGGACTCCTCTGCTCGATTGGTACCTCCTTATATTTAGTTTTGCCATCTGTTTTCAGTACAACGAGCTATGTCTGAAATTGCTCACGGTGCCCTGTTGTTGCGTCAAAAGAGGGCCCGTGATTTTACTTTGTATATGGCGATTACTTCTTCGCATATGTTTTCCCTCTCATTCGTGCGTTCTACAAATTTGTGTGGTGGATTATTGTTTGACAGCTTCTGAGAAGGATAGTCGACGATGACCGGAGTCCGGAGACCACTGCTGTTATGGTTTGGTTTACAGAGCTCGTGGAATCGGACTCTGACCAGACCAGGTGTAATTCTGGATATTGCTGATGGAAATAAAAAGGTACTCTCTCGTATCTGCTTGGTCAAGGAGACTTGTGTTTTATGCCCAATTGATTGAATATCTTGTTGCATGTTGGTCTGCTTAGCCTGTACATTTCTGGTGTATGTTTGGTTATAGTTTTGTAAGGCCAATCCTATTCGTTATGTTACATTGACTGTATCCTCTCTGCCAAGTGTGACATCTTGGACATAGATGTAGAAGCAATCAGATCTAGTTGAGCAGTGGTCTTGAGGTATTAAATCACGTGTTGACATAATCTATAGTTTTTGTGTTTGGATGGTCCATTTTTCTGTTTGAGTCTCTAGAACTTCACAACGTGAGGTTCATGAACAACAATTCAAGGACATAATCTTTCAATCTGCATGGAAGGGTCATGTACATGTAGCATTCAAGGACAATTCGGTAGTGCATTCTTGTACTTAATAAAAGGTACTACAGCGAAGAATAAAAGATAGGCCTGCAAAGAACTATAAGACATTTGTGATGAACTGATGACCAAAGGAAGAAAAATAAGAAAAAAGAGTGAAATGCACGAGTGGCCCTTCAACTTATCATGGTGTATCATTGTGGCCCATAAACTTTGAAACTTCAGGATTGACTTGTTAAATGTTTGATCCATGTCCAAACTTTCCAAAATACCCCTACTGTTATTGATGTGGTATGCAAGTGTGGACATTTTTTTTTTGACAAATCAAAGTGAAAGAAGAAAATAAAAGGAAAAGTATCCCCCCAAACACTCATGAAGCAGACTAAAGAAGAATAAAGTGTCTTATTTGCCACTGCAAACTTTTACCATTTGTTATTTTCCATCAATGTCTCACACCTCTGTCACTAGCAGTGGGAAAAAAAATGCAAAATCATAATGGTAGGAAAAGAATTTATCCAAGAAAAACTCAAAAGACAAATCCGAAAAGCTTCTACTTATAAGAAATTTTAACTGAACACATCTCCATCTTGTCAATGCCACATTAGAAATCCTAGAGGCATTTTTGGGTACTTTGGACCAAATCCATGTTTTAAAATTTTCAAGACCCCCAAGTGCAGTTTCAAAGTTTATAGACCTGGATTACAGTCCATAACAAATTTAATAACCGCATTTGACTCAAATAAAACTGTTCATATTATTTTACCTATTAGTTGCCTTCTAGCAGCACACTCTACATGTTTAATACTTAAAAAGTAAATAATTCTACTTATTATGTGATACAATAGCTCACAGTACAAAGTAACCCATCACGATTATGCAAATTGCTGAAAAGCAAAAACTCGACCTTTTCTTTGTGTGTAATTGCCAAAGTAATGCCAAATGAAAACATATTTTATACCTTGTGGATTTCACATTGCACTCATCACAAGTTGCCAACTTGTGCACAGAATATTATTATGTCTTGTTGTGTTGTCCAGGTACTCCATTTGGTTCGTGCACCCACATATATTCCAATGCAGAACATCATTTGCATCCAACTTGTCCACTCACCAACTCCACTTGCACTATAGTAACTTGTCATTGTAATAAATTAGCTCACCTAGAACAACCCAATTGTAGTACAAATATGCAAGCACAAACTTAACTGCATTAAGTCATTAGCCCACCCTGTATCCCCCATCTCCATTGTTAGGTTCTTGGCTAGAATTCTTGCCATGTCTTGTGGGCCATTCTCAGTGATCTCTACTCGCCTGTTAGGCGGAAGGTTACTGCCGATGACCTATGGACAGAGAGTGGCAGCAGTAAGAGTGGGAAGAACTGGAAAAGGAAGAGTTCTTGGGAGTTTGGTGAAGACGACAACGATGACTTTGAGGCTGATTTCGAGGGATTTGTGGATGGTGATAGCGAGGAAGATGGTGAAAACTGCATGGCTTTGTTTTCTGATCCTTTAGTTTTTTCTGCTTCTTTATTCTGCTCTTAAGTTGTTGATTATGTTGCTCTTGTATTGTTATGTTATTATATCCTTTTGTTTTCATTTTCATAGTGCGCTTCAAAGAGGTTCTGTTGTATCATGGTTACCATCATTTCTTATCCTTACATATGGTTGTCAACGCAACAGTAGATCCAGCATATATATTTGGATCCTTTTGATTCTAAGATACAGAAGGGATATAATTGGGATTTCTGTTTCGTTAACCTGTTTTATTTTCTCATGCAGAGTTCCAAATGAACAGTTCAAATCTCGTGGTGGGGTTCAATGTTCATACTGCCAAAGTGGCCAGCAGGAAGAGAAGGACACAGTATAGTGGGATCCGGCGGCGCCCTTGGGGCAAATGGGCAGCTGAGATCAGAGACCCATGCAAGGGCGTCCGAGTCTGGCTTGGCACCTACAGCACTGCTGAAGAGGCTGCAAGAGCCTATGACATGGCAGCCTGGCGCATACGTGGCAAGAAAGCCAAGGTGAACTTCCCCGACGCCATCACACATCCCGAGAAACGCCGGGGGCGTGTGACTCAACCAGGAAAGAAGATTACGTCACAGGAGGTGCTGAAACTTGACGACACCTCTGTCGATCATGTCATCTCAGCTGGCAGCAGCACTGATGATGCCACCGTCATCAAGCTTGAGTTGCCAGACTCAGCTTCTCTGCCACCCATGTCCAGCGCATGGCTTGATGCGTTTGAGCTGAATCAGGTCAACGAGTTGAGCTACCTTGAAGCTGAAGGGAAACGCGTAGCTGAAGAAATTGTTGGGGTGACAGATATGGTTTTTGGCAATGGCGAAGCGAGGACTGCCGATGATTTTGGGTATTATGAGCCTTTCCCGAACTTCATGCAGTTACCTTACATCGAAGGTAACTCATATGAAAACATCGACGCCCTTTTTTCAACGGTGGCGCCCGTTCAGGAGGGCGTCAACATTGATGTCTCTGGAGTTTCGACGACGTGCCAATGGACCACGGTGTTTACGGAGACGCAACAGCTCAAGGATCATAGTTTCAGGTTGTAAGTGCCCTTATTAAGCAATTGAGTTATTCCTTTTTGTTTTTGCGAAGAGGAGCTCTTTTTCTAAGAGTTATTGTTCTCTTGCATTGCATTGATACAGGGGGCGAGGGAAGGTCCGGGCTTATATTTTCAGACGATGATTGCAGTGACATTCCTGTGGAAGTGTGATGCTATTCCAAGATCACTTCGTAATTCTTGTTGGGGTTCCCGAGCGTGATGGATGCTGAAGATAGATTTGCGAGAATAGAAACATGTTTAACTGCTGTGTAATGTAATTATGGATTTTCCCTGTTATCATGCTCTTTTCACCGAATTAATTGTTGTTCTATGATCACCGCTCAGGTGATGTTGTATCTTGCTACTGTTGGCCTGATGGAAGCACCAGTATTGGTGGTTAAATTCAATCCAACTGAACCTATTCAACTTGTACATGAGTGTCTCAATGTTCCAACTCTCAAAAGGAGTTCTTGGGGCTCAAAAGGAGTTCCTGGAGAATGGCGTGAAATTTGAGTGTTCGCATGCTGACGGCACCGTACTCAACTTTGTGGATGAAGAAGACGTGCTGTCACGCCATCTTTTGTGTCGAGGAAGCGCTGCAGAAGCAAAGGCGAAGCTGTTAACCTAATTGACGACAGGACCAATAACCTTATCTGTTTATCTGCCAAATTGCTCCTTGGAAAGTGAGACCGAGGAATCGTTTACTCCGGTTAACCACACGAAAAGCAAAGGAATCTTTGCTAGATTGAACGTGACAGTATTTCGGTTGCTGTGATGCTTCTGCCGGCTGCCGCTGCCCACGAGGCCACGAGGGAATGAGACGGACGGGTGCGCGGTGCGCTCGTGGGCGGCAGGGCCGCTGCAAACCTGGCCGTGGTCGTGTTTAGAGGCCGCAGTCCCGCAGACAGGGAAGCTGGGTGGAACGTGGAAGACGGTGGGCGACGCCGCTTTGAGCTCATCCCTCCCGTAGTTGTAGCTCGGCGGCATCGACCCGGTTTGCTAAGGTGTACAGTACAGTCAGAAATCATTTCCTTTCCCTAAGCCTGAAAGGATAATACAGCTAGAAACTCATTTTCCGAACAGAAATGCTATACACCACACATGTGTTTTAGCACTAAAAAACACATGATTTTTTTTATCTATGACATCTGGGGCCCACATATCATAACGAACACATAAACCACCTCCCCCTCACCGGTTTCTCTCTCACCTGACTTTTTCCCTCACCCGACTCCTCTCCCTCTCTCTTTCTCGCCGGCGCGCCTCCCCGCGCCCACGCCGGCCATGGCAGTGGCGGCGACGGCGGATCCAGCTTTAGGTAGGCCTCTCCTCCTCATCCTCCTCTGCGATCTGTGATTTATCCTTCTATAGAAAAAAATTGTTTCTTATAATCTGTAGATCTGTGATCTTATGATTTGTGATTGTCTGGAGGTAGAAGAAGACTTGATGTAGAAGAATGGTGGAGGCTGTTGGATTTTAATCCTATAGTGCAGAAAAAATTATGTGTTAAAACTGTATAAAACGCATGGTTGTGTAATAGATAGACTCAAAAAATATGGCAGGGAAAAAATGTACAGTTTTTGTTGGATGGTTTCACTACTGATATCAGTCCGCACATGTAAATATTGGCAGAATATTTAGTACGCTGCAGTGTGCCTCTGTGGACTCATTCATGCAATGGAAGATTGATACATTTGTTGGTTTGTTTGTGGCTAGATTATTTGATTTGATGGGGCCATTTGGCTGCAATCACGTGGTATTTCTCTGCAATCGCGTGCCGGCCGCTGCTTATTTATTAGTGAGTGGAAGACTGATAAAATTTGTTTCTAGCCGTACTGTATTTTTTTTAAGAATTTTTGCTGCTACTTTATGTTTATATACATGACTGCATACCACCAATGCAGCATAGTATCACACCACTAAATGGGCTAGCAAACCATTTTGGAGCACAGATCATCTAGAGCTGAGTAAAAGGGCTGGGCAGCTCGGGGCCGCTCCACCCTCCCGAACAGGATATCGGTTGCCGTCAGGTATGCATCGCCATAGAAGCGTAGATTGGTCTCCATTCGTGTTGTCACCACATTCCCTTCCAGTGAAACCCCAACGAAGGCACCTGTTTGCAAGTTTCCATGACATTCATTAAGTGAGGATATCTAGAACCAAGCGCAAGTTAGAAAGATCTTGTAATATCTCAACGTGAGTAATATATGAACTGGTAATTCAGTCTGTTTGGGTCTCTTTTTCATGGGTAAATGCACAAACATATTACTTTTTTTATTATTACCAGAAGATAAATAGAAACCTAAGTCACACTCTTAAAAGAACCCACCATTATACTCCCTCTGTTCCAAATTATAAGCCACTTTGATTTTTTTGGTATATAAAATTTGCTATGTATCTAAACATATATTATATCTTGATGCATAACAAAATGGATGTATCAAAAAAGTCAAAGTGACTTATAATTAGGAACGGAGGGAGTACCTTTTATGATCAAACTATCACTTATAATTTCTATCTTAAAAGAATCTAGAAGGGGAGTGCTGCTAAGAGCATGTTCAAATTTCTACCTTTGCTGCAGCTGTAAGTGTAGCATATCCCAGAACCTTTTTCACTGGCCCGAACGTCTGCCTCAAATGCTCTGCCAATGGGTCCTGCTGCAGCACTCAGTCCTGCCCCAAGTGAAAGATGAATGCGACTGCTGAAAGCCTTGACAGCTTTACGGTCATGAAGCACAATGATAAAGTCTGTCAGTTCTCCTCCAATCTGGAATATACAAAGAAAGGCCACCATCAAATGGAGATTAAGGACCCTACTGACTTGTACTTAAGCATCTACATGTTTACATTGCTCCAATATCTACTATCATCTACAACTTGCAACAACCAAGTAACAAGCCATAATGCTCAAATGTATTTTTTTTCACACAAGGTGTTCAGGATGGGTATGCTAGTTTTTTTTTAGAAAAATACGTAAATAGTTAGATCCCATAGAAATTATATAGATGTTTTTGCATAACTACAGAAAAGGCAAAGGAGAGGTAGGTCTTTCTCATTACCCAGTCACCTGGTGCGTCTATCAACTAGATTATGTTTTCTGTACTACCAACCTAATGTTATCAGCGTATCTTTTATTGAGTAGCGCAAAAGTTCTTGTATATTCTCATGAAGAACAAATCATGTGTCTGTTGAGTATATATTAAGATAACGAGATTAGTGGATAAATACCTGCACTCCCCATCCCAGGCCAACAGATAAAATTGCAGAGGGAGCAGACCATGATCCATCTGATCTGCGAGCAACCACAAGACCAGTGCCAACTTTGTATGTAAGAACTGCACCTGCCTTAGCAACTGTTAGAACTGCAAGTCCCTTCGCTCCCTTGAGAATAGATGATGGGATGGACTTCTCAGGGTTTAATCTAGCAACCTACACATTCCAAAAGAGAAAAATTCTTAGCTCTGGACGATAATGTTACATATCTTTGATGGGTAAAACGTCATACATACCTGACAATATTTCTTCATTGTGTTTGTAGCCTTGTATATCTCGTACTCCATTGATACACCTACAGGCATGTTCAACCAGCTTCTAGTGCTTGTCCAATCCATGACATCGTGTTTTGCTTGCTGCATGCAGTTACTATTGTAGTTGATCAATAAGCCCTGAAGTGGATCGAGCCTCTCATAGCAAGCATCACAAACTCTCTGGGGATCACGAATCCTGAATTTCATGGGCATCAAACATCTTCCCTTGGAACAGTTTTTGCAGAATATACCTCCACAGAACCGACAATGGTGCCTTCCACGAGTCAGAGCCGTGAAAGGCAAGTTGCACTGCAGGCACACATTAGCAGAGCTATCTGGCAACCACTCTGGCGGATCTGCTAGCAACACCTCCCTGTATGCACTATATTGTAAAGCATTCGCTTCAAGTAGTGGTGGGGCACTTGGAACACAGACAGAAGGGTGCACATTAACATCACCATTCTTGTCAGATCCCAGGAATGATATGTCTGTGCTGAAACTTTCCTGCTGTGTTGCATCATCCTCGCTCTTGTTTACACCCGTAACAATCGAAACCAGCCCACCTAGAACAGTCTTCAGATTGACTTTTGGACTAGCTCGTGTTGGAGCGAATGGGTCATCCCTTGAATCATACTCTGGGAAGTCTGGTTCAAATGCTGGCTCATAAAGATAATCCTGAACCGGATAGTTGTTTCCAGCAACTACATTGGACAGAGCAGCTCCCTTCTGGCCGGTGTCCATTTTGGACAGGGAAGAGTACGCCATCATTTCATTTGGAGTTCCCATGGAATCATCTAGAGGTTATAGTAGGAACAAGGGACTACCTGCAAGTAATTGCAGGTACGTTGTTAGAACGAGATGCAAAGTGGGGAGAGAAAAAAAAGATTTGCAGCAGCGCAACCCTATGAGCTATCCAAAAACGATTATTATTGAATTATGCACAATATAATGTGATGGGGAGAGAAAAGATTTGCAGAAGCGCAACTGTTAGTATATGCTTGCTGAAACCATGGACCCTACTTCTAGAATATTTTAATCAATTATGTGTGGAGATGTCTCGGGGATATAGCTATAGTATGGCTAACCAAGATGTTCAAAAATATATTTCGATCGAACAAGATGCCTGAGCAGTGGAGAAGAAGCATATTGGTACCAATCTAAAGAACAAGGGAGATATTCAAAGTTGTACTAATTATCGGGGAATTAAGTTGATGAGCCACACTATGAAGTTATAGGAGAGAGTCATTGAGCAACACTTGGGAGGAACGACGCAGATATCAACAAACCAATTTGGTTTCATGCCCGGAAGGTCAACTACAGAAGCGATCTTCTTAATAAGACAAGTTATGGAGCGGTTTAGAGAGCAGAAGAATGACCTTCACATAGTTTTCATTGACCTAGAAAAGGCTTATGACAAGATACCAAGAAATATTATGTGGTAGGCTTTGGACAAATATAAAGTCCCATTAAAGTACGTGACCCTCATCAAGGACATGTACAACAATGTTGTGACTAGTGTTCGAACAAACTATGGTAACACAGATTACTTCCCGATTAAAATTAGACTTCATCAAGGGTCAACCTTAAGCCCGTATTTCTTTGCCTTGGTAATGGATGAGGTTACCAGGAACTTGGTGTATGTTGTTCGCTGATGATGTAACGTTAGTGGACGAAAGCCGGGCGGGAGTACATAGGAAACTAGAGTTATGGCGGCAAACCCTTGAGTCTAAAGGTTTTAGACTAAGCAGAACTAAAACCGAACACATGAGATGCAACTTTGGCGGAGCTGCACAGGAGGAGGGAGATGTGAGTTTGGAAGGTCAAATAGTGCTTAAGAAGGGTACCTTTCGGTATCTGGGATCGATGCTACAGAGGGATGGAGATATTGATGCGAACGTTAGCCATAGAATCAAAACAGGGTGGATCAAGTGGCGACAAGCTTCTGGCATTCTCTGTGACAAGAGGGTACCACAAAAGTTAAAAGGCAAGTTTTATAAAACGGTGATTAGACCTGCTATGTTGTATGGAGCAGAATGTTGGCCTACAAAGATTCGACATGTTCAACAACTGAGTGTTGCAGAAATGCGTATGTTGCGATAGATTTGTGGTCACACAAGAATAGACCGAGTTCAGAACGATGATATACGTGATCGCCTAGGGGTAGCACCAATTGAAAAAAAGCTTGTTCAACATCGGTTGAGGTGGTTTGGCCATGTCCAAAGGAGACCTCCAGAGGCACCAGTGCAGAGGCACCAGTGCATTGTGGAGTCCTAAGCCAAGCTAATAATATGAGAGGTAGAGAAAGACCAAAATTGATATGAGGGAGAATAAAAAGAGATTTGAAAGATTGGGATATACCTAGAGATCTATGTTTGAATATGAGTGTTTGGAAAGCAGGTATTGAAGTGCCTGAACCGTAACTTGGAGCTATTGGTGAGTTTTAACTCTAGCCTACCATAACTTGCTTGGGACTGAAAGGCTACGTTGTTGTTGTTGTTGAGTGCTTGATCGTTTGCTTCCATGAATGCATGCGCCTATGAACTGTTTTTTTTCAGCGAACATATACTAACAGTTGCAAATCTTCTTTTTTTTCCTACCCCGTCACATTGTATATTGTGCATAATTCAAGAATAATCGCTTTTGACAAGTGCAACAGTATTTCGAGTCCAAACTAAGCATCAGAACCAACCCATGAACTACCAACGCTACATGTATGTGCCATGGAAAACAAAAGCATCCACACCAGCTGATACTAATCTCAGATGCACGACACGACCGAGCAGCATCAACTATGACCCATATAGCTACCCAAACAGATGAGTGCGGACGTGCTCCCCCAACGTGCGTCGACAGCGGACCCTAACCTCGAGACACAGGCACGCGATTGAGGCGACAGCAACTGCGGAACCCTAGATTGGATGGGGCAGGCAAGCAGACCGGCCGATCACCCGGCTAGGCGAAACAACCGAGCCAACAGAACAGCGATCGATTCAAGCGCAGCGCGGCGCCGAGACGGCGAATCAGCGATCGGACGGAGCGGGGAGCTAGCTAGCGCCCCTTCACACAGGAGAAGCGCAAGAGACGAGCAGCGAGGCTTACGCGTGCTTGATCGGAGGGGCCGCGCGGGCGCCGATGAGATCGCCTCGTCGTGGTACCGGAAGGACAGGAGAGGACGCAGCTCCGGGCGGCGGGGTTGGGCTCGGCGTCGGAGGCGGGGATGGCATCGATTGGCTTCTTCCGCCGGCAACGGCAGCGGGGAAGATAGAATAGAAGAAAGCAGAAGATGGGATTCGGAGGACGCTATCGACCGGCTTTCCGCTACCGGTTAATTTGGGGATAAGTTATCAGGGGCTTTGGGTTTTCCTTTCCCACCGTGAGGGGATTTTTCACTTTTACCATTATTACGGATGGCGCTTTCCGGTTTGGCACTCTTAGGGCTGATCTTTCAAGTTCATCACTCTTAAGATTGGTCTCTTGCCGTTTTACCACTTTTTCCGACGTGGCAGTCCAGCATCCGCCGACATCGCCGGATCCGTGGGTCGCCCACACAGAAAAAACGACGCCGCCCTTACTGGTTTCACTTGGCGAAACGGGCGGCCAGTCGCCGCTCGCCCTCATTCTCTCCTCGCCTCGCCCTTCTCCCCAAATACAGTGAGCCGCCGCCGCCGCCATCGTCTTCTTCCTCCGCATCACGCCGGCCGCCTTCGCTTCAAAGACGGCGACACTGTACCATTGTCCTTGGTGGCCTCCGGTTCAACCCGCCCCGACGGATCAAGGTATGTGCCTCTTACTCTTCTTTGCCACCCCTAAGATCAAGGCGTGGTTAAGGTCACGACCTCGCCTTCCTCGTGAGGCCTTTGATGTAGTACGTCGTCATCTCCCCGTCCGCAATGGCCGATTCTCGACGCCCTCCTTGGTATGCACTGGCACTCCGTCCCCGGCCCATCGTAGGCCTTTGAATGTATTTGCTTATCTGCTTTTGATTGTTTATCATGATGCTAGGATCGATCCCGGCGGTCGCGTTTAGGCTAGTTGTTAAGGTTTCTCGATATGTTGCGATGGCGAATATGGGCTAGTGGACATGTCGAGCAAAGACCATCACATCTCGGTTTGATAGGGACAGCTCTTACTCTCTGGCCGATTCCATGAGGATTTAAGCTCAAAGATCATTTGGGGCCTCTTCAAACACTTTCGGTGTGGGTTGTAGATCGGATACTCGGCTCTGAGTGGCGACTTAGGAGGGATGAGCATGTGCAAAGAAATGGTCAAGGATAGATGGGGTGACAGATTGGCTTTTCTTAATGTGGAAGTTGTGAACAAAAATCATGCAATGACAATGATAGCTCACAAGCATCTAAGGGAGGTAGGTGTGTCTCTCGGTGTGACTAGTGGCAATGAACCAAACACGTAACTCAGAGATGTTGAGGGTTTTGGTGATACCTGCAGCACTTCCCAACTCCTCCTCCTCAAAGTGCCAAGAGTAATTGATTGGACTACTCTAGTCATACAAGAGAAGCTCTGATGATGGACAATTGCTACTCGCTGGGTTAAGTTCCAAGCAACTTATCTTTGAATAATACCAAGCATAACGATAGGAATCAATGGCTCAAGATAAGAAGGGCTACAAAGTGCATGCTCCAAAGACAAAAGAGAAGAAGAAAAAGCCCGGAAGGTTGAGGATAAATAGGATTAAACCAAAGAAGTGAGACAGGAGGCGGCGAGCTACTAGGCAAGTGCAAAGGCCCAAACTGTAAGGAGTATGGTCACAGGCTACTAGCTCCAAGTGTCCCTCAATGGGACTAAGAAAAGGTGCCCTCTCACCGTAAGATGTAACATGCATTAACCTTTTATTTTCTGCCTAAACTAACAAGTGCTTATTAACTTATGCAGAAAAGAACTAAGAAGAAGATTGCCAAGGTTGGGAGGAAGAAGACCAAGACAAGTGCAGATGGTGATGATGCACCCACCCAAGGACAAGGGGAGCACCGCTAGGGAGGCAAAGCAGAAAGAGCAAGGAGGGATGCGTAGAAGTTTAACTACTTGCGAAGAAAGAAGGGAAAAGGCGTATGCAGAAATAGGGAATTAGCCGAGGCTACTACAAATGAATATGAAGCGAAGATTTGAAGAAGAAGCGAGTATCATCATCGATCCCTTTAGCCATCTGTTGCCCCTGGATCCATCTATAGTCACAAAGAATGACAAGAAGGTGATCATGCAATCTTGTTTAGGCTATCGGATTGGAACTATTCCCCACTATAAATCTTCTTCGTGAGTTTTGTTCCATGACAGGCACTTTTCCTAGAAGAAGAGCTACATCTTTGGACTGTGAAGAAAATGACACCCAAAAAGAAGAAGTTGGCAACCAAAGCGAAGAAAACTCTACCAAATAAGAAGAAAGGAGGCAATTGGAATGGCAAGGGCAAGAGGGCGGGGCCAAGTGACCAATCTCATTATTTTGAACTTTGTGTGAAGTACTTTGTCATGTAATCTGTGTTATGGGCACAAAATTGATAGCATTTGGCCCTATTTGGATGTGAAAACATCAAAATCATGAACTTATGTAATGGCTCTTAGTTAGCCACTATCTAATGCCGTGATCATGAACTTATGTAATGCCTATGTGCATTATTGCTCTAGTCTGCTTATTTGTTGTTGTTTCAATGATCCTTGACTGTCATTCATAATATGCTAATTTTGCCATCTCCAAATTGTTGCTGTCATTAACCAAGAACAATCACAAAATGATAAAGGACTGCAACTGATCATTCACATATTATGAATGAGTGGGCCGAGCAGCCTGGCCGGCCCGTTCTGGCCAAGTGAAACCAGTAAGGGAAGCGGCGTCGTCTTTTTCCCTGTGGGCTTCGCCACGCAGATCCAGCGATGTCGTATGATGCCTGACCGCCACGTCGGAAAAAGTGGTAAAACGGCAAGAGGCCAATCTTAAGAGTGATGGACTTGAAAGACCAGCCCTAAGAGTGCCAAACCGGAAAGCGCCATCCGTAATAATGGTAAAAGTGAAAAATCCCCCCACCGTGAGAGGAACGAGGAAGGGGTCCGAGCTGGCGTCTCGCGCGGCCTCAGGCCTCAGCCCTGACGAGTTATGGTGGGCCCACCTCAGACGCTGACGCGGTGGCACGTGATTGGCCTCGAGTACGTGCTGCCATATTTGAAGATTTTGGGCAGCTAAACGTCCTATAACAAGGGAACAGGTTTTCCAATCAGAAACGCTTAGAAGCGGGCGTCCGTCACGGCATTCCACTCCGCTCCGCCCGTCTCTCTTATAAAAAAAACAAAATTCCCAACTCCGCCTCGTGCCATCCGTCCGTCCGCCTACCCCACTCTAGCGCACTGCTGCCGTCATCCGCCGCAGAGAGGAGGAATCCTCCGGCAAGGTATGCTGCCAGCCGCCCCACCGACCGTAGCTGTTGCTGGACCCTGTCGCCGACGCCTTGCCCTCCAAGCTCCATGCGCGTGCTCGGTGACTACAACAGCGCTTCCGTCCCTACCACGCCATGCCGTGCTCGGTCCTCCGCCGCGCACCATCCTCGTCCGCAGGTGGCTAGAACCGGCCGTTCCCTGCTCTGTTCCACGTCGCACGGAAGAAGGGTGAAAAATGCATGTTGCAAGGGTACATTTTAAGTATTTTAAATGTTTCAAAGGTATGTTGTAACTGTTTTAGATGAATGTTGTAAAAATAGATCGGGATGTTGCATATGTTGCAATGGTTGTACATGTATGTTGCAAGCTTCTGTTCTCAATGTTTCATCTTTTTTTCCTGACGTATGTTGCAAGTGTGTTTATCTGGATGTTGCATATGTTTTCACGCGTATGTTGCTAGTGTGTTTATCTGAATGTTGCATATGTTGCACTGGCTATACACGTATGTTGCAAGTGTATGTTTCAAATATTTCAAACATACGTTGCAAGTGTTTTATCTGGATGTTACATATATTGCAGTGCATATACACATATGTTACAAGCGTATGTTGAAAATGTTTCATCTGTTGTAGACGTATGTTGCAGCAAATGCTTTATGTTGCAAATGTTCCATGAGCAGGCACGACAAGGGGCGCAGGCGGAGGTGGTCCCCTCAGGCACAGCGGTCCCCGCGTGCGCGCGGGAAGCGACAAGGGCGGCAGCAGGCGTGGAGCACAAAGCTGTATCCATGGGCGTGGCAGTAGGCGCGGAGCATGAAGGTGCATCCATGGGCGAGTAGCAGGCGCGGAGCACGAGGCGAAGTGATGCACGAAGCTGCATCCATAGGCGGGTAGCAGCCACGGAGCATGAGACGAAGCGGAGCACGAAGCTGCATCTATGGACACCCTTAGGGTATCATTATCGAAAACAGGTGGGCAGCAAGCGCGGGCGTCCGGACGGACGCCGCGTCTAGACGTCCGAGCGCTAGTCTCTCCCTTTTCCAATATACTGGCCTTGTTCGGTTCATTGGAATTTGGCTACTGTTATTGATGCTAATTTGTTGTGAGAGAAAAACAATATTCTTTCGCTGAAAATGACTGTTGAAAAAAACCACTCACGCCTGCACGGTCACATATCCATCACGAAATAGGTGAAAAGTCGTACTCGTCGTACCTCCCATTTGCAACACAAAAACACTTGGCAATTGGCATCGGCTGTGTCCTGTGTGAAGAAATGCGACGGACCATACATGTGGAAATTACCAATCAGAAAGGGCACTAAGAGCTGTAAGACCAGACCAAAAAAATAAAAAATCAAAGGGTCTTAGACTCTTGAAACAAGCAAGTGCTATACTTATGTTGCCATTCCGAGGGACCGAGGAAGTCATCTGAAGACTGGAATGTACAGTATTTGATTCAGCAGGAGGAATAGAGCTGTGTGGAGCTACATTTCCAGTAGGGAAAGCTTTTATTTACTCAAGGTATGTTAAAAGGACCGGTGATACAAACAGTCCACGGTGGATGGCAGCAAGTGATGTTCTCAAATACTTCATGGCCCCGCTCAGCTTACCACATATCCAACTTGTTTGGCTTCTTTTTTCAGCCGGAATAATATTTTCTCTCACAACATTTCAGGCGGAACAGTATTTTCCAGCCAAGATTCATCAAGCCGAACGGGTCCTTAGGAAAGCGTGTCTCTTATTATCAAAGCAGGGAGCTTTGGCCATCAACCAGACCGTCCACGTCGCCCCGTTTTTTTCGTCCGTCCGATCTCCCAACGTGCGGTCCAGATGGATTGTAGCCGCTTCAGCGTTCTTGGGCCGCCTCTCAGCCTATCCGCGCCGCTCCATCGTTTACAGCCGTTGGATCTTCCATCGTGTGGCCATGGTTGTCTGGAGCGGATTCGGCCGGCAGCGGCTTCTGCCGCTCTGGCTTCGCTTCCACAGCTTTCCCGTAAATTCTCTCGGTGTTGTGCGGCTTCTGCTCCGGAGCAGGCCCATCAGATATATATGCCGGCTTCCGATTCTGCCTTCCCGATCCTTCCACCGCTCCCTCTCGCGTCCGCATCCGCATCCGCGCCTCTTCCCTCTCCCTCAGCTCTCACGGCGGCGGCTAGGGTAGGCCCCCACCGCGGCGGCCAGGCGAGGCCGCGGCCCGGCGGCCCCCTAGCACGGACGCGCGCCGACCAGGCGAGGCCGCCCACCAGTGCGGCGCCGCGGGTGCGGCCCCCAGGCACGGAGGTGCGACAGAGCGGGCCGACTGCTCCCCTCGGCACAGCTGTGCGATGGCGCTGGTGGGCCCCAAGGGCGCACCCAGCACGCAGCGACTCCGGCGTGAGCAGACGCATGTGAAGGTGGCCTCTCTCCTTGCTCCTCCTCTCTTTCCCTCGCCGGTGCCCAGCGTCGATCTGTGCGGTATGTGGTTGTTGCCTTCTTTGCTGGGTCGATCCGGGGCCTCCATGGCCGGATCCCGTCGTTCCCCGCGAGAGCACCCAGCACGGCCAGCCCGGAGTCACGAGCGGCCCCCGGCGACGCAGCCACCGAACGACGCCGCCTTGCCCCGCTTCCATGAAACCCTACCTGCCTGTGCTCCACGGCTCCGCTGCTCGTGCCATCTTCGTCGCCGACGGCCACGGTGGCGTCTCAGCTCCGAGTCTGGATCTGGCGGATCTCTTGTCTCCTCGTTGATTTATGGGACGCAAGGTACCCAGCTAACCCCACCACACTTCTGCTGGCAAGTGTATCGCTCAATTAAATCTAGGTTTGGCCGCAGGTAGAAGCTGTGAAGGAATCAGTTGCCGGCTGACAATTTTCTCTGAAATCGTCTAATAGCTGTTTTTGTATTCTGTGTTGTTCTATTTTTTCGGATGTTCTACTACATCCAGTGTGTTCGAACAATCGCTCAGGGTCAAAGATGCAGCTGTCACCTAATCTGCAAGTTCAATGCAAAAGTCTTGAGAAGTCTAGACAAGCTAGATCAGCAGCGGCGATCACGTTATCTTCAGTTTGTTCCTACTACAAAGTTAAATTAGTATATGTATTACTATATGCATATAATGGGGTATCATTTAGTGGTTCACAATCATCGCTCTCATGTCTGCCTTGTTCCCAGCCTGTAGCATTTGAGCTTGATGTTCCTCCAGAGGACATCATTGTAGACCTCATCAGTGCAAATCATCTGCTCTTTGCCATTTCGGGGGAGTACACTGGATTTCTTGCCACAGAGGCCACTTCACACAGTGGGGGTAAAGTTGTGATGATTTCGTTCTAGCACCGTCAAAAAATATCTTCAGCTTTTCCTTTGGGTCATTTTGCAATTTGCTCTGTGCACATCTTCAGTTTGTTTCCAGCTAAAAAATTAAATTAGTATAAATGACATGAATAAGCTACAAATTGCTTCATGAAATGTCTCTAAGGTTGTATTTAAAAAATAGATATGGCTTAATTTATATTTATCTATGCACACATAAAAACAGTTTAAGGTTTATATGTGTGAAACCTGAATGGGTTAGTTTGTATTTGCACACCTAAAATGATGTCGTGTTTAACAAAATGGAATTTGGGCCTGTTGCTGCAGCTCGGTACCTCAGTTTTTTTTGTCTATGTGCTGAATCTGTTACATACATGACTTCTCTTTGTGTTGTCTTATTTACAGGCTTATTTCCTTGCGTTAGGTAATTTCATGTTCGCGGCAGCTTCTATGCAGATGCAGTTTCCTGGATGTGCTCCACCAGACCCTACACGCACCCTCCTCGACCTTATTTGCATACTCTTGAACGGCTCCTGTGGTATTGAATGGTCTGTCTTACTGATTTTTGTGCCAAAAATATTTCATACATTCTACTGTTATTTAATATGTCTGCATCTCAGTCTCACATAACTGGATTGAAGCTATACGAAACCTCTACAACCAAATAATACATTAGACTTTTAAATTTATATAATTATTCCCTGCTACAGAAACCTTCCAATTTATAGGTTCTCCCTGCCAAAATCTTAAAGTTTTCCCTTGCAAGCTATGTGAGCTGCTAACTTCCCACCTCCACATGTTCACTTGACCAAGTATTAGCTGATTTGTTGCTGTCTATTTCCCTGCCAAAATTTTAAAGTTTTCCCTTCCAAGCTATGTGACGTCCTACCTTTCCCCCTCCACATGTTCACTTGACAAAGTATTAGTTGGTTTGTTGTTGCCTATTGACATGCCATATTTACATAATATAAAGGCGCTTGCCGTATTGTAGTGCTGATGATTATAGTTACAAGTGTTTTTTATGCCTCGGTTTGAAATCTAGAGTGACCTTGATTTAAGATTTGAAGTGTCTATAGTCTGGATTTATGAGATATTTTGGGTTTTTAGTTTTTTGTCTATTACCATGGATTATGTCACATTCAAATTTGGACTGAACAACTCAAGGCGCTGTGCAGGTATTCTATTCTTCATGTGATAATTTTGGAATGCTTCTTGTCTTCAGTTAACTCCAATCTCCTAATGTGCTGGTTTTTGGTTTCATATTTACTGGGCAGGTTGCTTCTTCCCCAAATCAATTTACATTTTTTCAATTTTATCATCTATGCTACTGTGGTTTACGTTCTTCGCACCAGGTACGTACAACAGCTATATATAGTCATGCGATCTCCCTTACTATATTTAAAGCGTTCGTTCTCAAATTAACTGAGTTGTTAGTTATGTCGGCCATTTTTTCCAATTAATCATGGAGATGTATTTGCCTTTCACTGCCTATTTACACTGTATAATTAAAATGTACTGTCCTTTTCCTATTTACACTGCCTGATCAGGGATATAATATTTGGAAAAATCCTGTTATACATATTCAGTTAACATGTGTTAGTACCTTTCGTATAACACCATCTCCATACCACAAACAGGTCCAAATCCAGTGTCTCCAAGCTTCAGCCAAAAGGCAGTACCCGTAGGCCTTCCCAAGTCCCAAAATAGGTAAGCACTACGCAGCTGCTCGGGCTTATACATAACTCCATACTCTTGCGCCACTCCACACAATTCCTAAACCTGCTGTTATACAGTATGCAAATCAGTACATAGTACAAAAGAGTTGTCGCTGAGCTTTTTGGAGCACCCAGTAAACCACACCTGCACAGCCCCTCAAACAAAAACAGACGGCTATTACCTAATTTAGAGTTATATCCATCAACAGAACTACTAGGTAAGCCTTACTTATATAGCCTTTCACGTCCTTTGTAAATGAATTGACATACAACATACAGTTCAGCTTCTTCAAAGCTTAAAAAAGGGATACCCTGTCTAGCCTCTTTATAAGCAAGGACCGTTCGTTTGCCTACATGTAGCAACATTTTTCGAAGGTGACAGTATCATTTTAATAGTTGGAAACTAAATAACCAGAAGATGTCTCCCTGCTATTGTTGATCGTAGCAGGATACAACTTTTAGGTTGATGTATATACCATTAGATAGAGGTCAGCTAATCGACACATCTATCATTTTAGTTTTTTTTAACAAATTTGGACATCTAAGATGTCGTGTACACCACACCTAATGAGGTACATCTTTCGTAGTTCTATTGATTCTCAATCTTGCCTTTTTTATCGGCTTCACATTCACACTTGCTTTTTTTAAACTAATGCAAACTTGATGGGGTTTATTTTAGCTATTGCTTAGTATGCCATTCCTTTGCTACACTGTAATTCCCGTGACTCTTTACCTAGCTTCATAAATCTAAGCCAGTCTAGATTAGTATATTTTCTCCTCTGCTGTTTATGTTGGTTGGTGGTTTACATAATCCAAATTGAAAACACAGGAACTGCCTCTTGCTAATTTTCAGTATTTGTACTTGCAACACTGGAGCAGAAATCATCCATCATAGTATGTTCATCAGTCCAACCTTTTAGTTTGGACCAACAGTCCTCTAAATTAAACTCCTAATATTGCTTCAATGCAAAGATTAAACATATTTTTTTCCTGCGCCTTAACTAGGTGATTTGCCGGCGCGCGCGATGGACTAGCGCTGCTTGATATTGAAGCAGCGATCTGGCTCATCCGATGCAATCTCATTGGGGTCCTGTACTCCTGTTACGAGTAAAGGCACCGAATGTACGACACATAAGACACTGAAATCCAACAGAAGAGTAGCTAATCAAGACAGCAAATGCTTTTTCATGCATCAATCAGATTTCGTGGCAAGAATGCATCCACCTCAACCACCAAGCAAACACTCGAATTGATTCTTACAAGTGTTGTAGTGACTATGCCTACAAAATGGCCACTCTAGATTTCAAGCATCATATAATTTATACGTGCACAACGAAACCAGCGATACACAGACATGGATGTGCCAATTTAAATCAGAAAAGAGAACTATGTTATTTCTATACATTCTTGTTTCAACATGGAGTCACCAGGTCTGGTGCAGTGGTGAGAGCTGTCTCACTGAGTCACCAGGTCATGGATTCGAAGCAGCCTCTCCGCAGATTTTGCGGGAGCCTCCGGCACTAGGTCTGCCCTGCCCTGCCCTTGTTTCAACATGGAATTGTGGCAGAACCTGACTCAAAAGCAGGCGGACAAGCATAGTTCTGAACACCATTCTCGAATCCATCCTTGCAATACCTCACTCAAAATAAAACAAACGGACGAAGGAATCCTACAAACGAAATTCTTAGCTTCAGAGCTAGCAAATATCGTAGGGCCGAAAATGGTTCCACCATATCAAAGTGTGGTGCACAACTGCACATCATTTATCCATCTCCCAGATAATAGCACTATCCTCTGCATGAATTAAGTAGCTATTAAGAATTAGAGTCTATGCAAAATACACATGCAATGCGAGTTTTCCAGACACAATGGTAATGTAAATCATTAAGAAAATAGAGTGAGTGATTTAATGATTTCTCCTGGCATGTACCTTTGATCTTTTTGTTTATCCACACCTCAATCAGCATTCCTGCACCAACTCCAGCAGCACACACGACACCATAGATTGCCAGTGCGGAAGGCAAAGATCGCTGAGGCAGAAAATAATACTCAGGGACTTGTCTGATCTTCTTTGGAAGGCGCTTCTTGACAACTGGTTGGCTAGATTCAGTAGTCACTGCACCGCCCACAGTCTTCCAGTCCACATTCTTCAGCATATCTTTTGAGTCCACACTAGCCATTTGGAAGCTGTGTATGCACAAAGGTTATGACAGTCAGCAAGACAGCAAGCAAGGACACATCATCTGTCTCAAAATTGGATCCTACTACAATCTAATAATATCCTAGAATAATTGGGACAGTCAGCAGAGCATATTGTTGCAACTAATAGCACATTTGCAGATTTGCTACCACCAGACAGATAGAGATAATAGATCTAGGATATACTGATATAGGAACAATAATGTCAGATACAACATCTTCAGAAACAACTCATTTCATAATCCTCAAGCATTCATTCACTGATCACCTACAAATTTGTAAGTTCGTAACTGGAATTGACAACCTGTCAGTTTCCATAACTCAGAGTGCATGACTAGGTAGGTTAGTAAATCGACAATCTTAAGAAGATCACAATGGCACGATTCCAGGTTGAAGGAAGGTGCATACAGAGGCAACACAACACACTGTTGGTCCAATCCTTTGTAATTTTCTCCAAAAAGTGAAAAACGAGGAGCTCGAAACTAGTCGACCGTGACACACCCGATCTACAGAAACCAATTCCTGATCCGGCTGGAACAAGCAGGTCCACGCATCTGATGACACGACTATGAGAAGAAGCGAGGCCAGGCCAATCAGGTGGCGCGGTTGGCTATGGATTAGAGGTGCGGTGAATCCCCTGACCTGGTGAACTGGATGACGGCGGCGGCGGCGTTGGTGAGCACTGAAATGACGCCTAGAATCAGTCAGCTATTAGGGCCGCAACTCGCGAGTCCGCACGGCGGGCGGATGGGCTGATCGTACGGCAAGCGGTTCGTCCGGAGTCGCCTTGGGCTTGACAGCCCGGTGACTGCCGACGGCCGACGGCGAGTGCTCCTCCCTCCGGTGCGATTGGTTTGGCGTCTGACGGGCAGCTGAGCGACGGGGGATTGTGGAATCGACCAGAGATGTCCAGAACGGAGACCGGAGATGAGAGTGTCACGCGTACATGGGCCAGAAGAGTGGTGGGCCTACATTCTACAAGGTCCATCGCCCACCCCAAACGGCCCAGACAGAAGGCCTGTAAAGCAAAACCGCAGGACATTACGACCTAGGTTTTTCATCCGTGACGAGCCAGCCCATATAAAACCTCAGAGCACCAGCCACCTCGCGACCTCTCGCGCCGCCACCTCCCTGTTCCAGCTCTCTAGCGCACGGCGCAGCCGTCAGAAACCCTAAACTTCTGCGGCGACGATGGCGGCGGCACCGGCAGGCGGCGGCGCGCGGGCGCTGTCCCAGCGGGAGCAGGACATCCAGATGATGCTCGCCGCCGACGTCCACCTCGGCACCAAGAACTGCGACTTCCAGATGGAGCGCTACGTATACAAGCGCCGCACTGATGGTATTAAGTCCAATTCTCTCTAGACCAACCAAATGTTTACATCGAATGCGTCTTGTATTGGATATCTAGTTATAGATCTGTTGGGATCTTGCTATGCGCATGCAGATATTAGGCTGCGATTGTAGTTCAATTGAGAAATATTGGCGCGTAGTTTCAGTCGACAGATATTGATTCATACGTATGTCATTTCTAGTAAAGGTTTTCTGGTATCAGCGTGATACCCATATATGTATGTAATTTCTAGTTGTTGGCTATCAGTGTGATACACATATGTGCGTTATCTGCTTTTAGCATTATTTCTCCAGCGTGGTCTTGATGATTTGTCTAGCATGAAGATTTGGAGGGTTTCTGGAATGGGTGTGATACACATACGTGTAAGGTCTAGCTGCGACATTACAAGTGCTATTCGTCTCAATATCATACCATAAATATGAGCTGTGGGATTGATTCAGACTAGATTCTATCAAAATTAAAGGATCAATTGACTTATATCGAATATCTTATGTCTATGTTGCTGTGTTTGTTCACTGAAATCAATGTGGAGAACGTCTAGTGCTTCAGTGTTAACTCAAGTTGCTTATGCCGATCAATCCCCTTTGTCATTTGACCATGGTGAACTGTGAATTAACAATAGTGCTGTTGTATATTATCCTTCAGGTATCTACATTATTAACCTTGGGAAGACCTGGGAGAAGCTACAGTTGGCTGCGAGGGTCATCGTTGCAATTGAAAATCCTCAAGATATTATAGTACAGTCTGCTAGGCCTTATGGCCAGAGGGCTGTCCTCAAGTTTGCGCAGTACACTGGTGCTCATGCCATTGCTGGCAGGCACACTCCTGGTACATTCACCAACCAGTTGCAAACCTCATTCAGTGAGCCGCGCCTTCTTATCCTGACTGACCCCAGGACTGATCATCAGGTAAAAAAACTTATATCTGTTGAAGGAAAAACTTTGTTGATTCAGAGCACTTACAAATCTTCTTTATCAAACTTTGTACAGCCCATTAAGGAGTCTGCACTTGGAAACATTCCCACCATTGCCTTCTGCGACACTGACTCCCCTATGCGCTATGTTGATATTGGCATTCCTGCCAATAACAAGGGGAAACAGAGCATTGGTTGTCTGTTCTGGCTGCTTGCCAGAATGGTCCTCCAGATGCGTGGTACAATTCTTCCAGGACACAAGTGGGACATCATGGTAAACTGATATAATCTGAACTAGTTTCATTCCTACCAATTTCTGACCTGTATAAACAAAGCATTTAACTTTTTGTTGCTTCGAATCATATGCTTGTTTGTTGTTTTTCTTTTGCAGGTTGATCTTTTCTTCTACAGGGACCCAGAGGAAGCAAAGGAGCAGGAGGAAGAAGAGGCTCTGGTTGCTCCTGACTATGGCGCAGTTGCAGAATATGCTGCTCCAGGGGCTGACAACTGGGGCGCTGATTGGGGTGCTGGTGAAGCTGCAGCTCCACCTGCTGGCATCCCAGCTGCTGGTGCAGACTGGGCTGCTGCTCCAGGTCCTGTTTCTCTTCTCATAGTAATATGATTTGCATTTAAAAACAAGACATTCTAATCTTTGTAGTAGTATTCTGTTTACACATGCTTAGTTTGTCTAGAGTACACTGTTTAAATTATTGATAGTTGATTCTCTATTATACCTTTTTGTGTGCCTAGAAGTAGCTTGCTGTGTGTTTTAAGCTAGATGGTGATTTGAGCTGAATCTTTGATATGTTTTTCTAGCGTGGCTTAAAATGCAAACTATTTTTTTTTATCACAAGTAGCCCTTTGACCTATAGGTTTTAATGTGTAACTGTGTTGAAACTTTAAATCTTTATAGATTTACTCTTCTCATAATAATGTTTGATCACATGTGCTTGTTTCTTTTATTTTTACAATTACCTGGTTATCTGCTTGTTTAGTTTCGTACACCTGTGGCGCTTACAATTACGCATGTGAATTTCAGCTCCTCCAGCCGATGGTGTCTGGGATGCAGCTGCGGCTCCTCCAGCAGCCACCGGATGGGAACAAGGCGCGGCCCCTGTCGCGGCACCTACCCCTAACTTGTAGTAAAGAGTAAATCAGCATGTCTGATGGCTTATCCTAGTCATCATCAGAACTTGTTGGTAGACACTGCTTGAGTAGTAGCTTAGAAGTTTTTACGTGCTACTAGATGAGAATCAATTGTGTTATTGACTCTGCTGAGTCAGCGAGTGAACCGGGCCCCTTTTTGTTATCATCTCAAATAGATAGCTCTGTTTTAAGCGTATTTTGTGAACTGTAGTCTTCGTTGCAGCAATTGTCTCTCCTGCTTGCTTTTTGTAGCACCCAAGATTTGTTGATCAGGTTCGCTGAAAGCTGATGAAGCTAAGTTTTTGGTACAAAGGTAATGCCAGACACAGCCACAGGCTTACACCATCGCGCAACGGATCGCCGCACGTTGCGAACGTTCATGCGCTGTGTTTGCATGTGCGAAGTTGCGAACGTACGTGCTGTGTGTTACCTCTTCGAGCACCGAGATGGTGGCCGGCGCGTAGTCCAGCTGCCGGGCGCCGTGGTTGGACACGATCACACCGGCCGCCCCAGCCTCCACGGCCTTCCTGGCTGTCCAACGCCGCCACCGCAGAGTCAGAGTTCAGTCAGACCATAGGTAATCGTTAGAAGCGAATGTAATCTAGCGAATGTAAATGAAAGATTTGAAAGAACTATTGTTTTAATTGATCAATGAATATATATTTATATATAAGTGAAAGGATGTCACGAAGGGACACGAGTGTTCCTAGAGGACATGCCATTTGGGAGTAAACTAACAGTCAAATCCTATCCACTAATCTTGTATTTGATGGATGAGATCACTCCGTGAATAGGTGTCTGCTTATGGTATCGTTTCACAACACTCCCGCTTGATCAAATCTTCATTGAGATCAATGCAGCTGTAAGCTGAGATTCCTCAAAAACCCTATGGAAAAAAATCTGAGGAATATATAGATATGCCATAAAAACTCTTTTAAACCTTATTAAAAAATAAGGAGAAAATAGCATATTTATTTGTGATTTAAATAAACCAATATGTCATTGTATCCCATTAAAAACCCTAGTAGAAAAAAAATATTGGAGATACGACATAAAAATAACTTTCCAAAAACCTTTCGGAAAAATATGAGGAGCAATATAAAGTGATATGCCGCTAAAACTCCTATAAAAACCCAGTGAGAAAACTAGGAGAAAATGTGACAATATATTATTGGTATTGCCTCTTGATAACTCACATGGAAAACCTTTTTAGGAAAAACCATGGATGAGTTGTGAGGGCAATATGTGTTTTTGATATTTTCCAAAAAAAATCCCGATGGAAAAATATAGAAAATATGACACGTGGTTATATTAATATTACTTCATTAAAAACTTTAACAAGAAACCTTGTTAGTAAAATTTGTGAAAGAAAATAGTATAATATGATACTGGTACAGATCAGCATCTAGGAGATGTCTCCCCATAATTCTTGTAAATTCCGAAGTTGTCGCATACCAATTTCATGTATAAATTTTTGAAACATAGAATTTGGTATGGACTCACTAAATAGGTCAGCACGATTATCACATGACTTGATTTGCAAGATGTGTATTCCCCCATTTTCTTGTAAT